AATGTGTGTTTCTATATCAGGCTTAAAAATTTTTCCTCCCCCTGTAATACATGTTGGAGTTCACAAATTTTTTTTGTCACCACACAACGAAATCTGTACAAATAGTAGCTATTGATAAGCACTGTTAAATTAACAGTGGTAATATACATGTATGCCCATGTATGCTCCACATACATTGATCAAGTTCATGAACAATATCACATTCATCGCATTTTTTTTTTAAATGTAAAAAAGAAAGACATAAAAGTGTAAGTATAATTTTGTACGTTCAAAACGTTGTTGAAATTCTTATTTGATTGAAGTTGGGATCATATGTTTTAAATTGCAATTATATTCGGCAAATATTTTTCAGAATTGATGAAAATACTTCTCTGGTTATTGATACGTTTCATATTTCAATTTCCAATGAGATATTGTGGTAAAAAATTTGATCATCGAAATTAAGATCAATTCATATTATAGATTTTATTGTCAAGTGTTAAGTCAAATAAATAGAATCATATAAGTATCAAATCAAGCAATATTTATTCTAACGAAAAGTTATAAGGTGTTATGTGTACAAAACAAAAAACAGGTGAAAACTTTGTGTAAGTAATTTGCGTTACATTTAAATTTAAAACAAGTTATTTTCAATTCCCCGCTCTTTGCTTTCTTTTGATGCACATTTTCCAACTTCTGCACCAAAATCACATCTGAAATGTATGGATAAACGCAATTTTTGAGAAACACTTTAATATTACACTATTTACAAGAGTACGTACTCATCAGTGATGGATGGTGATTTGCATATTTCGGAGATTTCTCGAATTTTTTCCAAATCTCCCTTCGATAAACCCTTCATATCAGCCAATTTCATAACATTATCGACATCCAACGTTTGCTTTCCGCCCTCTTCTTTTATCTTTAATTTAAAAAAAGACTGTCAACACTTTGATTTCCTTTTTGGAATTTCATGCGTAAATTTACCAATTTGAATTGCTTCAAAACGCACGTCATAGTACATTTGACTGGTTTTGTTCCCAAAATCTCTCCATCCATTAATTTTTTCATGTCTGCTTCAGTTGGCTTGTGTGTCTTACGACACTCCTCGGAAAACATCATGAACATATCTCTATCTTCCGGTCTTAATTTCTATAAAAGAATTAAAAATGAAAAAATGCGAGAAAATGTCGAATTTCATTCTATTTCAAATGCATTCGATCAAATACTTTGTTATGTATATATGGAATTTACCAAAGCTCGCACAACTGCGATGGCGACAATTATGATTCCAATCACTTTAATGAAATACATTTTGTTAATTTTAATAGAATTAGATTAAATTTTGTGAGAATATCAATTTGAAGCACATCGATTAGAGTTAAATCTCTGAATGAATTTTAAGATATTGGACACTGAAATTTATAGAAAGTTTGGAAATGATTGCGATCAAAATAGCGTGTGTTACTTTTTTAAAATTTAAATTGCATTATTGGCTATAAATTGTGGTATTTTGCTGAAAATGGATTATGATCATAAAAAGAATTACAATAACAATTTTTTAGAACTGTTAAATTTATTTGAATAATGAATTGGACAATTGCCAGTTTTTCAAGCAAATTTATGAAATCATATGTAACCAAAATTTACAATTTCAAATAAAAGAATGAGGAATAATTATAAATTATTATACCCGGGAAATGGTATAAAATAGTATGATAAAAATAAAAATGGCATAAAAAATGAAAAATAGTTGCAAATTGTTGATAATTACACAATAATATTCTCAATTCAAATGCATCAACTAAAACTTCCGCATATTATAATATGCACCATGCACTATTAAAAAAAAACAAATATGAGAAATTAGTTGGATTTATTAATTAATAAAATAATTGTTAGTTTTGATAGGAAATGAATAATAAAACTCAGCATGCAATTTGAATTTGATTTTTTATTATGGTAATATTATATTTAGTAACAAATAACAACTTTAAAAGAATAGATCGGTTGAATTAGGCCAACATAGTTAACTGCATTCGATAAACTCCAAATTAACTTATTATTTTATTTAATCTCAACAGCATGTAAAATCCAAGACGATTGCTTTTGAATATTTGGATTAAAACTGTTTCCAGAATGAACAACTTTCAAATGCAACTGAACATTTTAAAAGAAACTATCTTTGAATTTCTGGTCTGTTATTTGGGAAAAAGGGAAAAGTATCTCTTGTAGACACGACATTTCCAGCGAAACTTATTTGTAAGATTAAAAAAAAAATAATGAAAAAACAATTGACACAAAAGTTTTTAACCGAATCATTTGAAAAAAGGAGCGGCATAAAAATTTAGTAGTAAACAAATTACAAATTGCTTTTTTTCTTGCATTGGGAGTTTATTTCAAGGCCAGTAAATATATTCCCCGGAAAAATTGCCATCACTTAAACTGAATAAAATGAAATAAAACCAAATAAAGTCAAAATCAAAAGTTGTACTAACAATTCCATTTTTCAAAAGTCTTTTCATTTTTATAGAATTTTCGGTGAAAAGTTTTGTGAAATAGTTTCTGGAATATTTTCAGCAAATTCACATTGTCGACATTGCACATTTTATGAACTATTTTAAGGAAATACTGTTGTTTTGTTTGTTTTATATTTCCTGATGATGGCCAAAATATATTTATTTAGACGTCTGTGTTGATATATTGGATACAACCATGAACAAATGTGTTTTTTTATTGAGTTTAAAATTGGAGGCAATGCAACCTACATCATATATTCAAAAAACTCAGAATTTTTTTTCATATGTATTGAACATTTTATTCAATAGAAAGATTAGGTGAGTTTTTAGTGAAATTTTACGACCCGATGCGACGTCTAGATTTCACAATATATAGAAAAATGATACAGCAATAACAATAAGGTAAAAATGTGTTTTATTATAACATTTTATCCTGTTAATGTACTTTGTGTGCTTTCACACGTGTGTAATTTTTCGAGTCCGTGTCATTTACAATTCACTGTTGCAATGTATGCGTAAATATTACAAAAGTAACTTTGTAGCGCATAGCAGATTCGTGCCTTAAACTAATGAGTAAGGAAAATAATTGAGGTTTGGTGATGCTTACCTCGGCTTGCCATATTGCAATCATTGCAACGGCGTAAGCTTTTGCAATGAGCCAAGCGCATATTTTTGCAAGGGTAAAGGTCGTCCAATAGAGGTACGCTCGCCTACTTTGCGAAAAATCTCTCGTGACAGCGATCTGCCCAACAATGCTATTTGACACTGATCATAAATCAAATCACAAATAAACTGCATCCATTTTTGAAGACCATCATACACATATAGCAAAAGCAGTTAAAAGATCCATTTTCATGTAGTTATCAAGACTTTGCTATGATTTCAATTGTAAGTCTTATCGATTGAATCAGAATTGCTGACACTTTTTATGGTCAAAACGATCGGTGAATTCCCACTACCTATTGTTCACAATAAAAAATAGACTGCAATGTCTTTTTAATCAAATTGAAGATTTGCATGAGTGTTATTATCTTTGTCGCATCGCATTCGGTATGAATCAAACTAAACCAATCCAATTTCAATAATTTGAATATTCAATTATTAGTTAACAGCGAGTATTCAACTTTTTTGGTTATCGTTTATTGAATTTTTACTATTTGGTGATTGTATGAAAATAGATAATTGCTGACACAAATTCATGTGACAAATGCCATCATTCCTTTTATTTTGATAAAATAAAGTGAATGTTCCGACTAACCAATCTGGATGGACGAGTCAATTTATTTTCCATTGATCGAACTATTTCCACCAATATTGGTGCGGACTATTATTTTGGTACTGACATTCTGCCTAATTGTCATTAAAACATCCATTCAATGCTAATAGATTAATTAGAGTATCTCAAATTAATATGTTGCTATTCGTCATATTATTGGATTTTCGAAATTTATAGAAATTTTAATTAATAAAATTAATATTCGAGTCCATTTTCTATTATACAAAAAATAAATGAACAAACCAACGCCTTTATTCAATTGTATTTTGTATAATTGGTTAAAATATTATTTTACAATGATCGCTGTAAATAAAAATCAAAAAAACCGTTTAAGTCATCGTTTGAATCTGTAATCAATTATATATCAATGGTAGGACACTTAACTTTCGTTTAACATTTACGTATGTCGCCAAGAATACGTTAATATTACAGATCGTTAGTTCAAAGATAAAGCAAAATTTACCGTTTTTATGATGCCATGAAATAGCTTTTTTGCATAACAATGCAAACCATTTTTTATTAAATTTAGTTTTATGTTTCGCATAAAATGTATAGACACAGAAGTTGTTTGATTCGATGTTTTTATTCGATTATTTATTTTCGACACCTTACAGCTAAAGTTTTGGCAGGCTATTTCAAATGAATAATATGTAAAATATTTGGTAATCTCTCGTCATCTTCTTTGACTTACAAAAATTCCAATATGTGGTACAATTGATGAATGGACGGTCGCTCTATCAGCGAAAGTGAAAGTTTTTTTTGTGAGATTTAAACGAGTTAGGATTGAGGTGACCTGAAATTTCATTAAAAGTGCAATCGCAACGTAAATTTTTAAACAAATGTAGTTACAACATCAATTTTACACAATGTCTTCAGGTTACCATTCAGCTTTTTATCCCAAACCATTTAATTACGCGTGTATAATTAACAAAAAACTGTTTATGGAGTTTCAGGTCTACTGTTCTTCATTTTGAAACGATATTTTGAAATTGATTGCAATGCTGATAGATGAATATGATTTTCTAGATCTAATTAATAATTTAATGATGGAATTTGAAATGGGTAATTTTTCGAATCACAAGTTTTGTTGGTTTCTCTTTAATATAAACAGGATGATGTTTGACGACCGTCTTTATATGTTCAACTGGCACTAAAAAGGAAATGTACAAGAAACATTTATATAGAGGAAAGAATGAATAAAAATTCAATCATCTGATTACTACCTGGAACATAAACGGGCACTTTTTTCTCAACAAATACTGGTTCTTTCCATGTTTGAAGCGGTTTTGAAATGGGTTCACTAGGCTCCCAATATTCCTCATTTCCCCATTGTTCATCGGCACCCCATTGCTCATGGGTACCCCATTGCTCAGCGACACCCAATTCCTCGGAAGGTGTAAAGCCACTATCCGATCTCAGCAATGACCATTTTTTATTTTGCAGTTTTCTTGCTGAGCAAATTGCAATTAATGCAACGATACACAAAATCTATATCACGCATGAAAATATAAGCAAAATTTTTTTTTTATTTCTTCATTGTATTTGATTGCTTATATTTTTAATCAAAAATTCATTCAGCAACTAATATTTTTTTATTCGAAAGATAATAATAACAAATATTTTTTGATATAAATACAACTTAACCACTATAATTCGTACCAAAAATTTCATATTTGTAACTATATTAAATTGACACAACTTTTCACTATCGATGAAACGGTTTATCTTCGAATATGAAGTCGACCAAAAATGTTGACTGGTTATATATCAAAGATGCCAAATGACCCCACCGCTCAAAACAATAAAATCCCACATTTCATCAATACTACACGCAATAAAAAAAATTACCTATTTGATTCAGCATTCAATATGGACCGGGTTTCCCATTGATAATTTGTAAATGAAATAAAAGCACGCATAATTTCGTCATTAACTATTGAAAAGATGTTATTTTCTAACACTATTATAGGCATAAATCGGTCAATTTTAATGTCAATCACGTAACATGCGTAGTAGAAGTGGATTTTGATTGCATTGAAGATGTCAATACCGCGAGCCACATATTAAACAACCAAACGGATTTTAATATTTTCTTTTATTTTCGCTTCACTTTCTACTGTCATATTACCACATTTATTACGATAAAAATATTTTTGAACATTGCTTCATTATTTTACATTTAGTTTAATTTCATTATCAGAATTAATAGTATTGCCGGCACTATTCAATGTTCATCAAAAGCTTCCGGTTTGATGTAAGCTGGGTAGTTTTTGGAATGTGTACGCACACGATCAACAGATACTAAACACAAATATTACGAATGTAGTTTTATTACAGAAACACAATATTTTGTAATAAACCTACCTGGAACATGTGGCATTTTATGAGTTGATTCATTTGGTTTGAAGGGTTTCAATCCATCATTGATTTCTTCGGCGGCTAAAGCATGTTTTAGTTGCAATGCATTCAAAGTCGATCCACCTGTTGTGTTATTAGCTATACAGCACGCAAACAAAGCAAATATACACACGATCTAAAACATACAATTAAAAAAATATATATATTTGTTATAAAACGAGAACTAATTTTAAGAAACTTTTTAATTTTATCCGTACCAAGAATTTCATGTTTTCAATATTTTTGAAGGCACCGCACTTTTTGATGATAACACTGCTTTTTTGGAGAAGAATAACGGTGAATTGAACTTTGGGTTGATTTAAACCATATTTATATATAAACCACGGTGAGTTTAACCCCACTGCTAACGAAATAAAATAAAGTAGGTCTCATTTCATCATTTATAAATTTCAATAAAATGTGATTTATCCATTTGATTGCGCAGTTTTTGCATATATTGAACTCTAATTGCAGCATAATATTTTAATTTGATTTTTATGGTTGAGAAAAAGTTAATCAATTCAGAAAATACAGTAATTATCTGAACATGATTCTCTTATAAAAATTTGCTGAAAAAAACGCAATGTTATGAATATGAAAAATATTAAGAAATAAGTTACATTATGTAAATAACAATATAAAACAAATTCGATTTTATAAGTGAGTCATGAATATTTATTTCTGAATCTACTGATCGACATCTTTAATAAAAACATAATTCAAAATGAGGTGTAATGGCTTCCATCATTTATTTGTTTTTATTTGATATGATATTCAATTTCTGCACAACATAAATCAAGACTGCATAATTATCTTCGATTGAACAAGATATATCTTTGTTTATAGGCATATATTGACGTTAATGAACTTGAATATTGACTTAAAATTTTATTCACCAAAAAGGTGGCAAAAATGTAAATTCGGACATTTTCCAAAATAATATTATGTATAAATAGATTATAAATTATTCATTTTCCGGTTAAAACAATGATTCACAGTGCGATGTTTGTTTGTTTTGGTTTCATTTTCGAACGATGAATTTTAGATTTGAAATTGTGCTCTTTTTCTAATATAAACTCCACCGAGATTCGAGACTGGATTAAGGCGAGTTGTATGCCGTTTGACTTCAAAATGTGTACTTGGTGACGATTTCCAATAACTTTCGGGTTCTTTTTTGTGCAAATAAACGGGAACATGTTTAACAACCTCATGGACTCGATCAACTGGAACTAAAAACAAGGAAGAAGCGTGTATCATTAAAATGATCATCGTTTATTACAATCACACAAATAAATACCTGGTACAATAACAGGAACTTGTTTTTCAACGGCAACCGGTTGTGTTAGAATGGTGGTGGGTGATGCCGGCGCCAAAGAAGTTACAGGCATGTGCAATTGTTCAGTTGGCCAGTGATGCGAATATTTGGCATTGACATCTTCATGATGATGGTGATGGTGTAATACAGGAGTAGATGTTATTGACGTATGCGCTAATGAAACTAACGGTGTATATATGCTTTCGCTCGGCCAACCTTGATATTTTGAATTAATATCACTATATTGAGGCGTAGAAGAAATACCCGAAGGATTGTGCGCTGAAGATAATTGTTGATTTGTCCATTGCTGTGTTGAAACTTGGGGTAATAAATTTTGATTTGTCCACTGTTGCGTTGAAACTTCAGGCAGCACGTGTTGATTTACCCACTGCTGTGTTGAAACTTGAGGAAATAAATGTTGATTTGACCACTGTTGAGTTGAAGCTTGAGGTAATAGGTGTTGATTTGTCCATTGTTGTGTCGAAATTTGAGGTAATACGTTTTGATTTGTCCACTGTTGTGTTGAAACTTCAGGCAGTATGTGTTGATTTACCCACTGCTGTGTTAAAACTTGGGGTAGTGCATGTAAATATGTACCGATTTGTTCATCGTGCCAATGTTGATTCAACTTGGCACTAGATTCATCATTTTGTGGCAAAAAAGAAGCTGAAATTGGTGTTTGCACGGACGTCGTGAACGATGGGTAATCATTTGGTTTCGTGTTCGCAGTGTCCGACCGCAATGCAAAAATTGATTGCAATGATGATAGATCCGTCGCATATAAATTTCCAGCTGAACAAACAGCGACAAAAATGGAAACAAAGAGAATCTATACAATGAAAATAAGAAAAACTGAATCACTTTCCATTTTTAACGTTAAAAACATCTTGATTTTATTTTGGATTTTTCAAAGAATCACAAAAACACACAAAGAATACTGAATGGATTTTATTTTTCAGAGTTTTGCTCAGCGCTGCTGCCATCCACAGCATATTAAAATATCTTGCTGAGAATGCGTCATCCGTCGCATGCAAATGTACTTAGCAGTTTTTACATCACCGCGAACAACAATACATGCATTGTTCTCTATACAATCGTTTGAATGCTTTGAGTCACATAAGCGTGAAGAGGACAATGCATGCGTTCTTGTTCGCTGTGATGTATGAACTGCCAAGCACATTCGCATGCGACGGACGACGCATTCTCAGCAAGATATTTTAATATGCTGTGGATGGCAGCAGCGCTGAGCAATACTCTGTTATTTTTTATTATAAAAGTAATATTTTAATAATTTTTCATGTATGTTGAAACTTTTTTTTGTGTATTTCATTTTATAATCAAAAATCGGCACTGAGAGTATTAAAAATATTTTTTTTTTTCACCAATAATTCATACCAGAAACTTCATTTTTATCAACACTTTTAATATAGGTTGCACTATTTGTTGCGAAGAAGAATGAATGTGATTTGATACTTCATTCGAACTGTTGTGTTTTTATATCAAACATAAAATTCAGCCCCACTGTGAAATAGAAACAAATTCAAGCCTCCCAAATGTTGAATTCGTTTATGATTTACGATTTATTTATTTAAAATTTGGAAACGAAATAAGTTTGCGGGCAATTTTGCCAATTATTCGCATATTTAAACTTATTGTGCGGCAGTAAAATATTCCATTTTTATGGGCAGATTCGCACGTATTATTTTCATAGTAAAACTACACGCGCAAAAAACAACAGGTCGAAAACTATTAAACGGATACGGGAAAGACTCTTTCCGAAAGAGAAAAAAGTAAACGAAAGAGAATATAGACAATCAACTTTCTAACGATTTGTCAGCAGAGATGCGTTGGTGATAAGTAAAACATGGATTTGGTGGAAAAAAACGGAAGTTATTTAAACGAGATTAAATTAATAAACAACCATAATCGTATGGTGACAATTTGTCCGACAAAATCACACATAACATTCTATTCGATTATATAAGTACACTTCTTGATCAGAAATAGTAATAATTCAAAATCTACTGAAGAATGTGAACAAATGTGGGTGAAATACTTGTAAAAATGGTAAAAAACAAACATTCTGATTCATGCGTAGTCATTGATTCACAGTATTTCGTGAAAAACTGCAGAAAGTGAAAACGAAAACATTACATTAACATTTAAATAACACATCTAATTTTATGTGATTTAATCAAGAGATGATTGAAGGTGTGTTCTCATGTGCCATGGATGACTTCATTCGTTATTTCAAAATCACGCACTCATTTTTATGGTTCGAGACAAATTTGATAAATCCGAGCACAACGAAGATGAAGCTAGATTTAAGCCATTCGAATATTGATCTGTATTTATGTGATAGTTTTCTCTCTTTCAACCTGTTAACCAATTTATAGCACGTGCGAATAATTGTAAAAGCCTAAAAATCGTTAAAACGAAATCACATTTGGTTTGGAAATGGTCTTCTTTTATGGTTTAACATTCAACACCAAATCTATCGAAAATGATCAAAAGTATGATGTGAGCCTAGCATCAAGCCGTCTTCTCATGATGTAGTATAGGACTTGGAATTATGGTATATGTTCCAAGGGAGAATAACAAACGATAATGTGAAGATCAACTCACGTATTTGATTGTTTTCAAAGATACTAATCAGATGCCATCCATTCGAATTACGCCTGTTTCCTTCACATCACCGACCGAGACGTTTGTCAATAAACCGTTTTTGTATCAATATCTTTTGATACACCTTCGGGCTATTCAGCCAAATAAATTCGATGCAAATGATACTTCGTTCAATTTTTTTAAAGAGTAACTTGTTATTTAGACAGACTTTTCGTCGTAGAAATAAGTAAATTATCGTGTTTCAAAAAACTAATAATACAAAATATTTTCGGGTATTTGAGCTGTCCAAATTATAAACACTTGAATTTAATTCCACAATAACGCTCAACAAAACTTAGGGTTTCAAGAAAAATTTATTTGAGTGGATAAGTCAAATGAGTGTTCTTTTGAATTGATACTGTTTACATGAATATTCTCTCAATTCAAATAAATACAAATGTCATTATATCATCTTACTGTTGATTTGAGTAGCTTGATTAACATTTAAATAGTTTTCGTAAGAATGAAAACAAACAAAATAATGGTGCAGAGCGTATAAAAGTGTTCTTTTCATGTCTGTGACTTTTATAATTATCACGATGCCAAACGTGTAAATGTTGCTGATCTCAGGCAATACATGCACAATACAAGCCGATGCATATGATGCAAACGACAATCATTGAATGTTGTATGTGTTGGAATTCTATTTCATAATAAATAAGAAGGTGCGATGAGTTATATTTTCGGGCGATTGTACAAAAAATTTCCTTATTTAATTCTTTACAAAAAAAACACGCAGACTATGTAATAACTTATTAGAACAATAATCACAATCATCTACAGGGATGAATACAATCTTTTCATAAACTGTATAACAGTTGTGTAAAAGCAACCCATCCGATAAAATATTATTCGGCTATGTTTCAAAATGTGTATGTTTTTAAGTTGGTATTTGTCTTCACTGTATTAGTCCATTCAATGCTTAATGCTATTTTTGCTGCTCATTGTCTTTGACGTTTGTGCCTGCGACGAGCGGCAAATCATTGTATCTCAATTCACGTTAAGCCACCTTTTAGAACGGTTTCAATTTGCTAAATATTTGGACGCTATTGAATTTTTGTCAATTTCAGATAAATTGATTTATTTATATGTTGATTTTTGCTTAATAATTCAAAGTGAAAAGAAAAAATAAAAATGAATAAGGATCGATTAATTATCGATCAAGCTGGATTCACCAACGTCTATGTGAGCGGTTGCATAATAAATCCAGAAACGAATCAGAGAACGGTAGGATATGGAGTTTTTTGGGGTGAAAGAAATGAAAAGTATGTTTTTTTTATTTTAAAATAAAATATTTGTTTGAGTTATGACATCACGTGCCTATAATTTTTGGCATTTTCCATGAATCAAAGGCATTCACCCGAAAACTCTTTGGAAATTGATAGTTATAATAATAATTTTGTTTCCATCATTATAATTTCAACAGAAACATGAAAAACGGAACTCGTAAAAATACGTCGGAAAATAATGGCGAAATTATAGCTGCTTCTATGGCATTGAACCAAGTACTTAAACTAAACCGTTTGAAGAGATTGTGCATGAACACCCGCTCGAACGTTTTATATGCTGTGCTCACGCATTGGATTGTTAAATGGAAAGAAAACAATTGGCGCAACGAATCGGACGGAAAAAAAATAAGAAATTGTAGCAGTTTGAAAAAATTGGACAAAGCCTTGAACAAAGTCAAAGAGCGAACGGAAGTCATATTCAACCACATTCCATTGGGCAACGTACATCAAAATCAGGCTGACTTACTTGCTAGAACAGGAGCAGAACATCACTGCATCGTGCTTGCAAATCGCACTCCAAAAGTGAAGAAGAAGGAAAAAATCGCTTTGGTAAAACAAGAAATTCACTCCATCTTGCTTGAAAATCGGACTCCAGAAGTGAAGACGGAAAATGTCACTTTGGAAAAACAAGAACAGAACATCATTTAGCACTATGTGTACCAAAAACTGCATTTCTTCCAGCATTTGAACGAATACATATAAATTTGAAATACTCGTTAATTTTTTTTACTCATAGTCTACTTTGATTGCGTATTTCTCTTATTTATAAAGCACATTTGCAATGCACTGAAAATCTACTTGAGAATTCTTATACATATAAAAACATGAGCAATAAATGTTGTTTGAACCAAAAATGATATTTGTGAAGTATTCCATTTCGAATGTAGATGAAGGTAAAGTAAAAAAAATAAAAGTACGCTAAAATTTGAATTTAAAATTTGATTTGCATGCAATTCAATCAACTGTATATAAAATGGACAATGTCTATTCAAATTCGTTATTGATAAAACATAAAAGTGTACATATCAAATGAACAAAACGACAGGGGAAACAATACGACATAAATTGAAAAATTAGCAGATGAAGTTTTACAGCCATCAACGTCAATATAATAAATCACTTCAATCATCAACAAAAAAAATGTAAAAAATTGTTCATGCAAATCACCCGTTTCATCGCCAAAAAGAAAAGAATCAATTTAAATTGATGATTCGAATATGCATCGATTTTTGGAAAAGCGATATAACTATTGGGTGTATCGATTAATTTTAAAGGATTGATAAGAGATGGCGTAACTTGAAATTGTGTGTAGCTTGACAGGTGAATCCAATTGCATTTTGTACATGTGACATTTGCCAATCTAATTCAGAGCAGAAAGATTTATTTTTGACACAGTGTCATTATTTTCTGATCGATTCAAAATGAGTGATGAAAAAGTGTTTTTCTGTCTGGCCCTCCTTTGGTTCAATTTTTTCACTTTAAATAACGTGAAAATACATCTAAAGGTTATAAAATGTTGCAGGAGACGAGAACTCTCAATCGCCACAGAGAATGTTGAATTTGGTGAGAAAGAAGTGGTGAATTTGTTGAAAAACTGTGAAATCACCAAAAAAAATTGAATGTTGGGCTATTGGCGTTTTTTATTCGATAAAGATGCATGAAAATGCATCAGAAAAACATCAGAAGCATTAAATATATGCGAATCAATCGTTTTAAGACATTTGTAATGAGATAAGACCAAAGAAATTGTGTGCCACACCAGCTGAATCCAAAACTAGTTGTTAGATGTTTTTTCACATTTTGGCACAATGTTCCAAAAATAAGAAAGAAAGGAATTTTTGTATCGTATTGTAACTGGAAGTGAAGAGGGCATCTGCTACGATAACCCCAGGCATAAAAATAAGGGTTCAATCCCACACAATCATCAAAATCTACAGCATAGCAGGATTTTGATGATTTCTCGGTAATGCTCATTATTTGGTGGGGATAAGGTGGTTTGGTGTATAATGAGCTGCTGAAACAGGGTGAAACAGTCACGGGGGATCGGCATCGATTACAACCAATACGTTTGAGCGGAGTACTGAGAGAAAAATTGAAAAAAACTGCGACAAGAAATAGTCGAAGGATTTATCAAAATTTGACATATTTCAAACATCGCAAAAAAAAGATAGGGGACTCTGGTCGGGATGAGCTTGATCAACCCGCGTACTCTCCAGACCTGGCTCCTTCTGATTACCACTTGTTCCGATCGATGAAAATCAGCCTGTTCGATGAACACATTCAAAATTATGAAAAAGCGCGAAATTGGATCGATGAATGGATAGCTTCAAAAGATGAGGAATTCTTTCGACGCGGAATCGACAAGCTACCAAGAAGATGGGCGGAAGTCATAGCCAACGATGGGCAATACATTGGTTAAAAAATATTGTACAGTTGTTTTTAAATAAATGTATCTTTTCACCCAAAAATCCTTTAAAATTAATCGATACACCCAATAAATCGTCACTAAAATACAAATCCCATTGTAGTAGCAATCGATTTACATTTAAAGTGTTTCCGAAAATGTGAAAATGAAAAAAAGAGACTTTTTTGATGAATCAAACATACATTAACACTACTTTTTCGTTACATTAAGAAAAATGGGAATAGTCAGAGACATTCATCTTATTTTTTATTTATATCTTTCAACGGTTGTTTTTCCGGCATTTTAACCCAACTGATGTGTCTATAGTCTATAAATTATAATGTATGCTTCATAATACATTGTAACGCAAAATGTGACAAGAACAAGTATCTGTGCTATGCTGCTTTGTCATGTATGTATAATGTATATCAGCGAATCAAAGTATAAACAACATGTACCGAGAATACCACTGATGCCAGTCAATACATAGAGAAAGCAGACCTACACTTGTGTGTGTATGATGCTAAATAACTACTACTGCTTGGTTATCTTTCGAGTGTATTGAGAACGGTTGAGAATGAAAAAGGCGCGAAATTATATTTTCGGTTATGCTAGTTCTGTTGTTTGATTGTTTCTTCTTTCTTTCGTCTGCATGTAATATGAAATGGATGCAACATTAACTCTAAGCGATTCATAGCGGCAACATTGACATTGAAAGAGAGAGCACATACGTATAGTGATGACGCGATAAATACTCAAGCGATATCGTTCGAGCTAGACAGTCTATTGTGAAATTTCGCAATCATAACAAAGAATTATTGCAGCAAGACGTAATGAAAATATCGAAATAATCATGGAAAAAGTGTGTTTTGATTGAATTGTTTTTAGTTTAGACTTTTTTTTATTTAATAAATTTTGACGTATTTTTTGCAGATTAAAAAATTTAATTTGGAATTGGCTTTGTTTGTAAAAGAGCTAAAGTCGTACATCAACGATGTTAGTGTGGTTAACGATGAAACTACACATTTCTTGATGGAAACAATTATCGCTGTAGATAAGTTGCAAGCAACTTCGAGACACTGTGAAAAATCTGCTTCAAATGAAAATCGATTTGTTCAAGATTTGAATGAAGACATTTTTGAATGTCGTCGGCATATTGTATGCCGTGTGTGTCATGTATGTTAATTTAATGTTCAAACTGTTTAATTCTTGGCGATATTTAACTCTCGTTAATTTTAAGTTTTAACCGTTATCTATTGTAGGAACACATTCCACTCAGTGCAGAGGATTTTGAAATCCACATACAAAAGAAAGGTCACAAGGAAAAGGAGGCCAAACAGAGTTCATTGGTTCCCGAGATACGAGAACGTAGTACGAGTTCCGAATTGAATCCATCGAGTTCAGAATTGAATCCGTCGAGTTCAGTAAGTTCGGTGAACAGCATAGATGTTAACGCTGCAGCTACTGTAAATGGTGAAGTTACTAAATCTAACACTTCAGTTCTATCCGTAAAATTGGAAAACATTGTCAAAACAGATGCAATGTCGGAGAAAATTGTAAATGAAATACTTGAATTGACATCTCGGAATGAAGTTAGATTGCAAAATGAAACCAAAATTATTGATTCACTTACACATTATTTGGGGGCGTTTGATTCTACATTGAAGTTTATTCCATTCGGATCATCCACATTTGGATTTGGGGGATCGAAAACCAACTTTAACATTCTCGTGAATGCAAGTAAGATTTACGGACATTTATATTTTGTTTTAATTCCACGCTTTTAAACGGATGCTATTATAGAAACAGTACCCAATTTCTTTGCTCTGCTGGTTCCTTGCATGCATCTTTTATCGAGTAACAACTCCAATCATTCAAAAATGTTGATGAGTTCACAGTTTTCTTCCAAATTCAACATTCTCTGTATAAAAAATGAACCCTTCTGCTCTGAATTCTATTAACAATTATACGACATCTATAAAAAATGCAAAAGGTTACATTTTGTTTCATGTTTTAGGTGGATTTGAAAAGAGTCCCGCGATTGCTTTACATGAATTTGAAAAGATGATGAAAACATGCAGCGCACAAAATGATTTTGAAATATTGGAGAACATTAGCGGCAACCGTGTACAAAGGAAACGCCTACAATTTCTTCATAAACAATCTCGCATACTTTGTTGGCTGCAATTTTCGTCAAATTTTGAATTAGCCAAATCAAATCAAGTGATTCGGGATTACATCCGTCGTGATCCAGCTTGTAAGCAATCATATATTATTTACATTTATATTGCAACTAAAAAAGACATACAAATACATTGAACCTACTCCATAGGCTACTACTTGATTGCATACATCAGATCTTGGCAAAATATCTTGAATGACATCGCCGCAAAGGAAAACACCACCGCCTTTCACTTTAATACGTACATAATTAGTGTTTTGGTGATATTTTTTTTGCAAATGAATAACCAATTTCCAAAAGTTAAAGAGCTTCCCACATTAGAATCCAAATGCATCGTTGTTGTACCGAAGCCTGACCAAGGTCGATTAAAACAAGTTGTGTTCGGATTTTTTGAATTTTATGCAAAACGATATGAGATTAAAAATCATTTAATTAGCATAAATATTGGTCGATGGCAAGAGAGGCACTTGCAATCTCATCAAATAAATTTTACGTCCGAACAAAAAAGGTTATTCAGTTATTTTCAATTATTCTCACTTTCAGTATTCTAACCAATACTTGCTATCTACTATTATAATTACAGCTTAAGAGATGCCATGGAATCTAATGGTGCCAATTGGAAGGATTGCACAATGTATGTGCAAGACATTGATTCGCAAGGAATGAATATTACTGCTGAAATATCCAACAAAGAAGCACACAATTTCAAGAAAATGTGTCAGATGTTTTTCACAGACCATTCACAAAAGAAATTCATTGACGAATACGTATCAAAAGTATCGACACTTCAAAAGTCATCTGACAAAGCATTAACTGCTAATAAAATAGATGTGTCACCATTAATTTCGATGAATACCCTTAAAACTGCCATCAAAAGTGTTGCTGAAAATCTAGCAACAGGTGGCAATATAAATCCATTTTCATCGAAGAAATCCGAAAAATTGCCAAGAGCTGTTAGTAAGGAGCAAATAAATCTCATCGAAGGACTGGAAAAACGAATCGATTTTTCAAAAACGTACGAAACTATCATTCGAATCCTAGACAAGGCAGGAAAATTAACGGTAGAAAAATATCTACGTATTAATAGAAGGAAATATTTTGAATTGGATATAATCAGCACTTTGGATCATTATCTGAAGCTATTCAATCCCACTTTTGAGCCAATTCATTTTGGTTCAAGTAAATATGGATTAAAAGATTTTGAATCAAATCTCCATTTGTTTGTATTCATTGGTATGTTTTAATTTTTTTTTCTAACGTTTGGATTTTTGACAAAATATTATAATAATTTACTGCTTCACAGACGATGCAGCTCCAGCAGAAATAATTCGGAAATTTGAAGACTATTTGGGAAAATCAAATATTCAAAATCACTTCAAAGAAATATCCAAAATTAATGGATATCGTGTGCTAAAGCCACAAATTAGCATGATTCATATAGACTCTGGAATTCGATGTTTTTTGCTATTCGACAATGATAAGACAATTCCCGATTCATCGGAAATTATTCAGCGATTCATAGAAAAATTGCCGCTTTGTAAATATAATTAATATTATACATTCGCATTGGATGATTTGTGCAATTTCATTCCATAATTTCAGGTGAGTCACTCATCAGATTCATCCGGGCATGGCAGATGGTTTTGAAAGACATGTACCCAAACAGTGATATAATACAATTCCAATTCAATACCTACATAATATCAATTCTTGTGATATTCTTCTTCCAAATGAATTTCAATGCGCCTAGTATTGAAAATATATGGTCGCATCCACCTCTTGCACCACCATCAAATGGTGGAGATATCAAAGCAATTGCTTGCAAGTTTTTCGCCTTCTACGGCAATAACTACCAGATATGGAACCATGTAATTAGTACTCAAATCGGTCGATGGCAAGAAAGGCGATTGCAGCCAGAGCAGAAAAACTTCACTCAACTTCAAAAACGGTTCGTTTCAAAAGATACAGTTGGAAATTATTTTAAAATCATTTTTTATTTAATGAATTTTCGTCACAGATTGCGCGACGGAATTGAATCTAACCCAGCCAGTTGGACGAATTGTACTATGTACATCCAAGATTTGGTACGAAGTGATGTGAACATTGCGGCTGAAATACCAAAAAAAGCAGCTGAAAATTTTCAACAATTATGCCAAATATTCGCGAAATACTTTTCACGTATTTATCGGAAATGATTGGTTCTTTATCACCTCGTTTTTAAGACATAAAACTATAATCGTTGGATAAAATTTGCAATAAAAAATCATTTTATATTAAATTGTCAACTGTCTTTTTGACATTCAAATACATACATTTTGTTCTACCACCCTTTATAAATAGAATCACGTCATACACAGAAAGAAACCGGTATGCCATATGCAGAGTCGTTTTGTTATCATCGGTTTGTTTCTCTTTATATGTATTGTAAATAAACTGAATCGTCGAGAATGAAAACATCACCAAAATATAGCTACTTTCGTGTGTCTTGCTTCTCTTCTTTATTTCTTATTCACACCAGTATGTGATGAGTGTTTAATGAAATTTCGTTTCTTTCTTATTCTTGACGCTTCATAGCTGCGACATTGACACATTGAAAGACTATTTGTATATCGATGACGTGAGAAAGGTGCCCATTCGCGGTATTGTCAAAATCGAACAAAATCACTGCAAAACAGTACGAATATATTGGAACAATGATAAATAAAGTAAATATTTTGTGATTATTTGTTTTTTTTTTGTTTTATTAAAAACTCAATTTTTTCATGTTTAGATTAACAATTTCAATTTGGAATTGTCTCAGTTTCTCAGAGAGCTACATTCCTACATCAACGATGTAAGTGTCGTTGACGATGAAACAACAAGATTATTAATGGAAATTGTTCTAGCCGTGGATAAATTGCAGACAACTTCGAAATACTACAAACTATCCGCTTCAAATGAAAAACAATCTTTTCATGATTTGAATGAAGAAATTTTCAAATGTCACCGTCGAATTTTATGCCGTGTGTGTGAGGTAAGAAAAATACAATGAAAATCCACATATTCTATGGTTTACATGTGTTCATTTTCAGGACAACTTTTCACCGGAAGATTTTGACACACATGTTCAGAAAGAAAGTCATAAAGTGAAAGAAACCAATTTCAAATCATCACAACCAATTCCAAATAAAAATGTTAGCACACCAGAGAGATCGATCGAACATAAGCATGATTACAATTGCACTGTAACCAGTGCCAAAAGAGTTGAATTGAAACATACTGGCCCAGTAAGCTCAATGAGTAGTAATTTGCAGTCAGCTATCAAAGTCAATAATTGCTCATCAGTGACCAGTGATTATAAAATAAATATCCCAACCGTATTTTCAATGGAAAATCTAAGTAGAGCAATTGCCGAAGTTGATTTAGCCAAACCTGAAAGCCTGAAATTATCTACTTGCAAGGATGTTGAGAGTCTAATCAAAGCGAAATATGCTCCGAATGCCACAGTGAAAATGGTCAAAAAAGAAACCAATAATTTTGCCAAGATGGATCACACTATCTCTACACATGATGCGAAATTGGATGAAGCCTCTACCTCGTGCAATGGCAACCAATTAAATATCAACTTGAATCCGGACATGAAAATATTTGATTTAATTGACAAAGAAATAACCATGCTTTGCCAACCGTTGTATATGGAGTCCCGTAAGCGTCTCGAAGATGATATATTTTCTACCATATCGAAATATATTCATCAGTTTGATAAATCATTGGAGGTTCTTATATTCGGTTCGAGCTATTATGAAATTAAGGGAGCAATGACGGATCTCAATTTATTGATTAATACACGTATACTTATTTTTATTTAATACTTCTATTTCTGTTCCTCACTTGGAAATATTACCATATTTTGCAGATTATGATCGGCCAAAAGAAATCAGTCAGAGATTCTTTCTGAGACTCGAGAGAACAAACATCGCAAAAGATTTTAAGCAAATACATAAGGTTGCGGCGGATCGTGTTCTGAGACGACAAATTTCCATGGTCCATATTAAGTCGGGAATAAAGTGTTTTTTACTGTTTGAAAATGATAACAGCATTGCCGATTCGTCAAAAATAATCGGTCGTTTCGTGAATGCAGAACCAATGTGTGCGTTTATAATATAGATACTTGAGAATATTCCCGTTATTCAAACAATGATGATTTGTTTTGAATTTATTTTAGGTCGTTTTCTCATCACATATATTCGAACGTGGCAAAATATGCTGAACAAATCCGGTTTGGCCAAATTTGAATTTAATACATATATAATATCCATCCTGGTCATCTTCTTTCTTCAAATGAATCATAAATTACCGAGAGTTGGTGATATGCAATCGACCGATAACTCGGCCAGCAAAACATCAAATATTGTCAGTTTCAGGGACATTCCGCAAAATTTTTTCTCATTCTATGGTAACAGCTATCAAATGTGGAATCATGTGATCAGCGCACACATTGGTCGATGGCAAGAGGTGAGTTAGATATTTTAAGTTAAAAACGTTTGTTTTATTCCATTTTTTTTATTTTCAGCGACGTATACAACCAGAACAAAAGAACTTTTCAGAAGTTCAACAACGGTGTGCATTCATTGAAAATGTAACCTATATTATGTGATTAGTAATTTCGTCGACATTTCTTTTCATTTAGATTGCGCAAAGGAATCGAGACAGCACCGGCCAATTGGATAAACTGTACAATGTACATGTTCGATCCGATGTGAATGTTACCGCTGAAATTAAAAAGACGGCAGCCGAACATTTTCAACAAATGTGCCAGACGTTCGCAAATAAAATGGTGACAAAATGAAATTTCAAATGTTTGGAATAAATGTTTTTCGGAAATCTATTGCATAATTGTGCAAGTCCTAGTAGACTTAAGCTATGAATGTGATCATTAGAATAGAGCATTCGTTGATGTTTATCAATAAATAAATAAAATAAAATAACAAATCAATTTTTCTGAAGTAAAGCGAAAGTCTAAAACACTGAAAATAAGGTGAGTACTTAAATCCTCCCAAAGGAAAAAATGGAGCAAAATACGCATAAATATTATTTTTTGTTACACAAATAACTGAATTTAGTCCATTGAACAACCATTGTCTTTCAAAAAATAAGAAACGGTCAAGACATTGATTGGCCTTTCAAAAAATAAAAAAAACAGTTATTCCGAAATTGATTTCACTAAAGAACGATTTGTGTTGTGGCAATGATGCTGACATGTTCTTTCATGAGCAAAAACAATCGATGCGTTGATGTGACGATGTGATATGCGCACACCTAGACATAAACATACACACAAACACTCTTGATTGAGCTCGATTGGTGGCGTGCACACGCAGCACTACTAAACTAACGACGCATTTCAGAACGCTTTAGATTGTCGGTGCAGTCGTATGACAGCTTGAGATTTGTCACTCAGTACATCAAGCAATATGGATGAAGCGGTGAGTTGTTTGTAATTGATTTGTGTTAAGAAAAAAAAAACTGTGTCAAAATAAAGAAAAATACATTCGGCTGTTTATTTTCATTCTTTTTTTTTCAATTTGTCAATAGATTAATTTTCTAAACGTTGAAATCGGTGTATTTCTACGGTATCTGCGATGTTTTTCAAAAATCGAAAACGTACAAATCAACAAAAAAACAATCGAACTGTTTGAAGAAGCAAAGTTGAACATAAAACAACTGACGCAAGGTGCACAAATTATTGAGAATTCAGCCCGAAATGATGTAGATTTCCTATTTGACCTCAACGAACATCAGTATGAACTTCAACGACATATTTTGTGCCGATCATGTTTTGTAAGTAAAAGTGATGCAACATAAAATTTATCAACATTTGATGCAATACATTTATTCGATTCTATTCAGGACATGTTTCCACTGTCAAAGCATGATTTCGTCATGCATTTGAAACGAAAACATTGTACCGCTACATCGACTGGATCGAATTCATTTTCATCGGACTTTTTTCCCGATTCCGAATCAACGACTTATCATTTTAACGGTCACAGCAAAACACCGTCACCACAAGTAAATCTTTTATTTTTATTGTGTCTTTGTACAGTTGTGATGATAAACGATTTATTTTTTTTGTTTTTATTGATAACTTAGATGGACGCTGGTAAAAATAGTAGTTTTGGTGGTAGTCATCATCTTAGTTGCACATTCAGCGACAATGGATTTGTTGAAGACAGTAATATTGCACAAAACAACATTTCAAACAATGCATATCCGCGATATTCGGATATTCTTCGAACCGCTCCGCCACCACAAGGTAATTTCACAATTTTCATTATTGTGTACGATTCATTTTATACTTGTGACTGTTTTACCTGATACAGATCCCGAAGAAAATGTGGTTAACATCAAACCAATCGACACATTCATGACATTAGGTGATTTAATACGAACCGATCGATGCTTCGAAGCAATCTCATTGGAAATGACCGATTTCATGACACAGACTGATCAACGATTCCAAAGCGAAATGAAAATTTTGAATCTGTTGAAATACGTTGTCAACTCATTTGATTCTGCTTTAAAGGTATTGAGCCGAAATAATTCAAAATTATTAAATTTAATTTTGAATTCAAGACTTTACCAACATGTTGCTATTCTAACAAAAAGTTAAAAATGAAATTCAAATTCCATTTCGGTATACTAACAACATGCTATTTCTTTAGCATTAAGTTAGACTGGATTTCTAAGAAATGTATGCAAACAATCGCTTTCTGACTGAAAAAGACTGAAATAAAATATTTTTATTTAGGTATTGCCATTTGGTTCAGTGGAATATGGTTTCAGTGGTGCAAATACAAATTACAATATTCTGATTGATACACGTAAGTGACAAAAAGTTTTAAAAAATGAATGAACAGTTGAATTTTCATTGGCATTTTTTTGCATAGGAAAAACGGAAAAGGCACCAGCCTTACTGTTGCGCACATTCCAAAAATTCTTCATGAGCACAGAAGCGCAGCGATATTTTGATTTTCCGGAAAAAATCAACTCAAATCGCGTTCTAAAGCAGCAATTGAAAATGACTCATAAAGAATCTCGCATTGAATGCCTCCTGCTGTTCGATTGTGACATAAGTGTGGCCAAAGCTACTGAAATCATCAAGGATTTCATCGCTGTGAAACCAATCTGTAAGTAATCGTAGAAAAATAAGCTTTATGAAGCCATAACAAAATCATATAACATAATTTCCATTTAGGCCGTCAGCTGATTGCGTACGTCAGAGCTTGGCAAAATGTCGTAAACCGTTTGGCCATACAGCATGGAGAAGCGGTCTTTCAGTTTAATACATACATCATAGCAGTACTAGTAATATTCTTTATGCAAGTGCACTACGATCTACCCACCGTAAGCGAAATATCGACACTCGCAGCGAGCGGAAAAATCACATCAACTCCCAAATCCATTCTCGAAGAACAAAAAATCTTTGGCAAAATTTTATTTGAGTTTTTTCATTTCTATGGCGCACGATATGAAGTAAACAATCATTTGGTTAGCGCACGTATTGGTCGTTGGCAAGAACAAAGATTAACTCAACAACAAAAGTACTTTACGCCCGAACAGAAAAGGTTTGCATCAAATCAGTCTGTCTTCAAGTTGAATAATTATTAACCAGAGCCTATTCACAGATTGAGAGATGGAATGACATCAAATTCGGCCAACTGGCAAAAGTGCACTATGTTCGTGCAGGATCTAATTTCACCCGAGTTGAATATCACAGCCGAAATATCAAAAGAGAAAGCATACAACTTCCAAGAAATGTGTCAAATGTTTTCTACAACACAACGATCATCATTGGTGAAGCGAATAAAAAAAGAGTCACCGCAAGTAAATTATCAGCCATTGCACCGAACAATTTCACAAAATAGTTTACCATCTGTGAAATCAGTACCTTCGAATCGTGTCAAAACCACCAAAGAGGATAAAAACAAAGCATCCACATTAATGGCATCGAAAAAAATTGCGACAAAAAAGGGATGCCCAAAAAATCCGTTGGCAACTTTAGACGAAGTCATAAAGAATGGAAAAATATACGAAGCTATAACCAATGAATTGGCGATATCGTCTTTACGCTCTGAAGAGAAACTTCGTCACGAAGGTCGAATTTTGGGAATGCTGAAGCAACATTTCAAATTATTTGATCGCACATTGGCGCTAATTCCGTTCGGTTCGACTACATATGGTTTTGCTGGCTCGAGTTTGAATTACAATATTCTCGTTGATACTCGTAAGAATCGTTTTTTCATTGCATGTTTTATTTAAAGATGAAAAGAAAAATTGTCAATCTTTCATTATTTTGCAGGAAAATCCAAACAGATACATAGTAATGTTTTGGAATCTTTTGAAAAGTATCTCACTAAAACCGACATACAATTACATTTCGATGACATAGCCGAAATACCGGCCAGCCGTGTACTAAAGCAACAGCTACGAATGATACACAAAGAATCTGGTATTCATGTATTGCTACTAGCCGACGATGTAACTGTAGCTGACACATCAAAGATTATTCGCGATTTCATTGCGATTAAACCGATTTGTAACTGTTTTTACATGAAAATTGTGTTCAATATTGTTAACAGATCGTAATTCATTTATTCATAGGTCGCAATTTAATTGAATGTATCATATCGTGGCGAGATGCTTTGAACAGCATCTTAGCACAAAGTGGTGCCACCCCATTCCAGTTTAATACTCACATGATCTCGGTGCTTGTGATATTTTTCATGCAAGTAAACTATGAGCTTGGAACGGTTCAAGAAATATCAACAATTCGTTCGAATCCGGAGACAATGAAGAAGGCGGATATATCGCTGAAGAAAGATTTGGCCATTTTCGATAAAATATTGGCCGATTTCTTCTGGTTTTATGGTCAGCGATATCAAATTTGGAATCATGTCATTAGCTTGAACATTGGTCGATGGCAAGAAGTGAGTTGGCTATGTTTTACTTCGACAATAAATATTATCAAATCTTAATTTTTCCAATTTTTTTAGCGACGCATCCAAGATCAACAAAAATGGTTTTTGCCTAATCAGAAACGGCTGCGTGACGGAATCAACACAAATCCAGCCAATTGGAAAAATTGTACAATGTTCGTCGAGGACGTGACCCGATCGGGCATTAATGTAGCAGCTGAAATCACAGCAAAGGATTCTTATGGCTTCCAGGAGATGTGTCAAATATTTGCAAAGAAAAATATTTGCCATAAAATATGCCACAAAGATCAAGAAGATTAATAACTATGCAATGTCCACACAAATTCCAATCATGAATACTCAAACAAAAAAAAAAGTTCAAAATGCTGAAAGCAATCAATTCACTAAGAATAATACTTTAAGTCACATCTGTTGTGCGAAAATGTTAAAAGTATCAATAATAAAATGTCAGTATCGATTCTGTGATGCTTAAATTCAATAAAACTCATTATTTTAAATATTACAAGCGAATAATAGAGAAAAATAAAAAAGGCGCAGAAAAGAAAAATACTCTAATCCTAATTTTGATTGTCATAATGATTGCGTAAGAGACAACAGTAAGTATCGTCTACAACACGGCGAAATATATCTGTGCTCGTATCACGCACACGTATAGAGAATAGATGATAATTTAAACAGATATGGAACAAATTTGAATATTCGAGAATGAATTTTAGACTTCTCCATGAAAAAAATTGAGATTGGCAGTGTTACATTTGAACCCATGTCTATCATCGCCTCAGTGTATTTAATAATCGTATTTAGAAATAGTCTTATTTGTGAAGATTTCTAGTAAATTCGTCGATAACATCATACGCATATCTATATGAAAAGCGAGCAACCAAAAACTGTTGAATGCTTTTGAAAAATCAAATATATTGATGATGTTGGTTGAAAAATGCATGCTATAATCGAGAGATCATTTCAAAATGGACATAAAACCATAAACAATAAAAATCATTCAGTGAAAATTTAAAGAAGAGAAACCAAAAGACAAAGAAAAAAAAACGGTCATCTCAAGCATTTAATTTTATTGATTTTTCAAGTGTCGCCTTTTGATCGTTCGTTGTTAGACCGAATACGAGTGCAAATGCGACAATACAAATACGAACACAAACATCAAATGAAAGAATGAGAGCGCGCACTGAAAAATTGTCGTTTCAGAAAAAAAATAATTTTGTGATGGTACGTGATTTTCTGTGTGGTGTGTGTCGCATTACTTGCTTTCGTGTGCAGTTTTTTGTTTTTAAACAAACAGCGATATTATGTTTATCCAAAACACTCGTCACACTAACACAACGACAGTGACAAAAATACACGGCGAACGTCGTAAGCAACAACAGCATTATAACGAAAGAAGTTCACTCGAATTCAGAATATTGTTTATACCGTTTTGAGTTTTTGTTGCGTTGGCATCACATATTCTCATAGCATAAACAAAGTGAAATTTTCAGTTGTCAAACAAACATCGCCAAAAATGGACGGACTGGTAAACGAATTTATTCCTTGATTCATTTCAATAGTGTTTCAGTTTTGTTTTCATTTTTTACCCTTTTATTATTTGCGAAACTCAAAATAAAGCAATTTAATTTAATTAATTTTCTTTGTTCTCCCCTTTTAATGTGCATTTAAATTGATATTGTTGTTGTGGTTATATTTTTTTGTGATTGACAGATTAAGTTTTTCACCGTCGAAGCCGGAATTTTCGTACGGCATTTGAGATATTTTCGTGACATCGAAAGTGTTCGCATCAATCAGCAGATTGTTGATTTGTTGCGTGAAGCGGCATCAAATATTGAGGAACTATTGAAAAATACGCAGAAAATTGAAATGACCGATCAAGATGTGGTAGATTTAATTTTCGACTTTGATGAACGACAATACAGTTTGCGAAGATATTTGGAGTGTCGATCTTGTTGTGTAAGTATATTGATTTATGAATAGTTTATCTAGTTGGCCAAAATTGAAAAATTGAAATTATTTTGTGGGAAATGGTTCAAAATTGACGGATACTAGGAATTGATTACATTGTCAACGAAGGATTTTGCGGCGCATTCCGAGTGTAAGCATCAAAGTATCTCAGCAAATGAAACATACAGTTTATTCTCGCCAAATATTAGTGGCTCAGATACAGAAAACAAAATGGCGTCGTCGACGACCGATGTAAGTTGTTACGCAATTATAGTATGCATAAAATTTGTGCGTGTGTGTGTGTGTGTGTGTGTGTGTGAGAGAGAGAGATAGAGATAGATTTTTTACTATTCTTTTTTCATCCCAGTCCCATTGTGAAGTCGACTTCAATGAAAACTATGTGACAAAGTGTTCTAGCCAAAGTGATGACAACGATCATCATCCGAAGTACTCCGATGTCATAAGTAATAACATTTCTGGTGGAGGTTTGTTAGCCAATTTTTGTGCACTTTTTTTAATCAAAGACTTGCTCGTCTTGCTATTGATCAATTTAATTGAAAATAGATTCATCACGTAACACAAGCCCAATCACAACTCACAGCAGTGACGATCTATCTGAATCTCAAGCCAGAGACATTTCAGTGGATTCTGGCTATGGAACATCTTATTTGGTGAAAATTCGCGGGTATTGTGTTTTTTATTAGTTTCATTTCAAGGGCAAATATGTTGTATGTTTATATGCATAACGACTTAATCTTGATTCGCAACGTTTGTAATGTAAACATTATAAATACTGTTTCAGATTACCATGGACGGCCACCAAAAAAGATTTACGTGATTTTTTCGCAAAAGTGCACATTATGAATGGTTTGGATGGCATTCATTTTATAGCTGACGATGAAAATAACTATGGTGTCGCATACATTCAATTGCCAACCAGAAAGGACTATGAGCTAGCTCGAAAATTTGATCGAAAAAAATTGAACGAACGATACATTGAAGGTGAGAGTTTTGTTCATATTCTCGGTCATTTTGGTGTTGGTTCTTTATGAATTTTATTGAAGGGTATTCTTCATATTAGCGATATATGAACGCGAATAATCTAGAATCATTATTGAGACGCTCAAAAAAATCGTATATGAATTATGTGCATGTCTTCCATAAACATTCTCATAGGATTTTCGATTTTAAATAAACAAATGTTCTGTTTTGCTTGGAGTATCAAAATTGTTGGTGCATTGTTTTTATTAACTTATTTTCAACGGCCATTCAAATATTTATGTGTTTTTGAGTATACCCAAAAAAGAATATACGAATGCTCGATGAATGCTATAAGGAGTTAATCTCGATTCGCAACGCATAATGTAAACATTGTTACTTTATATGAGTTGTTTTATTCACAGTATCGCTGCTATATCGAACAACACATTTATATTCATTAAGTGTAATTTAATACTCGATCGATTTGTTTATTTTTTTCTAATAAAAAAAATCACAAAATCAATTCGATTTTAGAAGAATATTCGACCACTTTACTTTGGCATTGGCTGCAATTTTATTTGTGAGATGGTCTTTTCTTTTTTTATTTTCGTTTTTCAGTGTTGGATGCATCCTCGTCAGATTTTACCGTATTAAGTGATTTACAAAGAAGAACATCTAATGATAATGTACTGCGTCTTGAAGGATTGCCTTGGAATTCCAAAGAAAACGAAATTCGTCAATTTTTTCATGGTAATAAACAGGAGACAGAAACTTTTTTTTACTAATCGAGAAATGAGAGAAAAGATCAAAAAATAATAAAAATTAATCAACCCTTGCAGGTTTAAGTCTCGACGACATTGGTTTGGTTTTAGATCCAGCGAATGATCACACATTAGAAGCTTTTGTACGATTTTCCACAAGCGATGACTTTGATCTCGCATTGAAACGGAACTGGGAAATCATGGGCAACAGGTGAATTTTTCTTCTTTTTTTTCGAAAAAATGTTAACAATCATCAAGTTTTCATACATATTTTGTACTTTAATTGTTATAGGCATGTGAAAATCTTTCGCAGCTCCATTGTGCAGATGAAGTTACAAATAAATAGTGATGGCCGGGCAGAAGGTTCCAAGGCGGCGACCAAACAGTTGAGTCCATTACACGAGGGACCATTGGTCTCGTTACCAATTGAAAAACTTATGGAAAAAACAACAAAAAGTAAGACAATTTACGCCTTTATTCCGGATCGAAAGAGAAATAAAATCATCTATTTGAATGTTTAGGTGAATGGCAAAAAGTTGGTTCTCGACGATCAAAAACTGACACAAAAAAGACGAGCCACATATTTTACATGGTGTTGGCTCGCGGTTTTCAATGGAAAGTCACAAAAAAAGATGTTATGGATTTTTTCAAAGGCATCAACATTTTGAATGGTGAAAACGGCATTAACATCATGAAAAATACAGCAATGGAAGCCTATGTGGAATTGGTATCAAAATCAGATGTTAAGAAAGCACTGGCACTGAACAGTAAACGCGTTGATTGTCGAACCGTTCACGGTAAACACTAAATCGCATACATTTTTTTCCGGGCGACAGTGATGAAATTAACATTGATTTTTTACTGATTCTTTTTTAAACAGTCACCGAAATTGATTCAAAGGAATATTCACGGGTGGCATCGTGCATCTCGAAAACAAACGACAGTAACGTGGTACAAATCAGGGGCCTTCCATGGTCTGTTGATAAAACATACATCATGAAACTATTTCCAAGTGAGTGTATTCGAACATTACGTTGAACTAATTTCGAGCATTACTTTTTTTCGATCGAAGGACTTCTCAACAATATAACAACAATACAATCTACATTTTTAGCCATAAAAATTCCAAAAAATCATATTCAAATTGAAGTCGATGAAAATAACCGACGCACTGGATATGCTTTTATTGAATTTGACACGTCTGAAGAATACGAAATGGCCTTTAAAACGGACTTCAAGCCCATCAACCAGTAAGATATTTTAAAATGTCATTGGAGAGAAACCTATGATATTTTCCTTTTTTTATTTATTCTAAACAGATACATCAAACTATTCAAAGCAACCAAGGAGCAGTACATGCGAACCATCACTTCAAACAAATTAGTAAATAAATCAGATTAGAAATAAGAAACCAATGTCATAGCAAATGTATGAAATGAAAGAAAAACAAAACATCGAACAGGACATCTAGCCGGCTGAATGAGATAAAAATACAATCTTTTTCCTAATGCATCTGAATTAAATGAATTTGAAAATAAAAATCCATATTGAATGAAATAACAAACAAACAAATGTGCTTGTCCCTCATAACATACTTGAAACACATATTTAGTTAAGCAAAACCATTGTAATTTGGAGTGAAGAAAAAGAAGTTTCATAAGAAAATTAAAAACAAACACATGAGGAAAAAAATATTTTTTTGGCGATTTATTGTTATTTTTGGTAAAAACAAAAAGCACTTGATATGGTTCAACAGTGCGCTTGGTGTTGAAATCTGACAAAAATTAACTAGAGCTGCTTGTTTGGATTTAAACATAGCTTCATAATAATTGAATCGGTAAGTCTGCTTGAATTCAAGGTTAATGCTACATTAAAAAAAAAACATAGAAAAATCTGTTTGTGTTAAAGAATTTAATTTTAAAAACATTAGAATCTAACCATGGTAAGCACATATAGTAAGCACATGTAGAAAATATAAACAATATAATGAATGGGCCAAAACGTTGCATTTTTCAACGTTAGAATGTACTAAAAACATTACAAATTTGTTTGCTATAGTCTTTGTTCACATTCGATACAATCAACAGAATTATGTTAATGCTTTATCATTCTAGTGGAGATAAGTTACAAAAAAAACTATAACAATAAAAGAATTCAATTTTAACTCAATCGAAGGAAATTTCATTTGGCAAAATCATAACTAAATTAATTTGACTTTTGTTTTCTAATACAAATATATCTGATTATTTAATAACTATCGTAAAGAAGATACAAATCAACTTTCTATGGCGGTAAAGAATAGTTTTTTAAATCTGTAATCATTGAGTAAGTTCATTTGATTAAATGTTTTGATTATAAAATTTGCTGAATTTCAGGCTTTACAGAATATACAATTTTAAAACAGAAAAATACATGACGCCAATTTTTTTGAATTTTTTTCAACAATTATTATTATTTCTGAGCGTTGTACAAACGCGTGTAAAGACCACCCAATGCTAAGAGTTCGTTATGAGTTCCATATTCAACAATTTTTCCACCACGTAAAACACAAATTGCATCGGCATTTTGCACTGTACTCAATCGGTGCGCAATTACCAAACATGTTCGGCCTGATCGTGCTGAGTCCAGGGCTTGTTGGACCACCTGTAAAATCATAAGACATTTGGATATTTATAAATTAAAATGCGGCAAAAATCGAACTCGTTTTGTACTGACTTGTTCACTGTGCAAATCTAGCGCTGATGTAGCCTCGTCTAATAAAAGGATTTTTGGATTTCGTATTAGGGCACGTGCAATTGCGATTCTTTGTTTTTGTCCGCCAGAAAGTTGAGCTGTTTTACTGCCAACATTCGTTTCGTAACCCTTTTGATGAACAGAGGAAATTAGTAAATTCAAAATAAAATGCATTTTGGTAGGGGTACAAAGTTTGTATGACAAACCAGTGGCAATTGAATAGAATTTAAAAAAAAAAATCAATACACAATACTAAAAATGGCAGTGGCAATGCATTAGTAAAATAAAATCCATTCACAAACCATTGGCAATTGAATGATGAAATTGTGGATATTAGCAACTTTGGCCGCGGCCAATATCTCTTCCATTAAAACGTCTCGTGAATTGTCGCCATACCTAAAATTCATATTTCAATTTAATTGAATTAATCATACAAATACATATGTAAATTATGCAAAACATACGCGATATTTTCGGCAATCGTTCTGTCAAATAGAGTTGGCTCCTGAGACACGATGCTTAATTTCGATCGCAAATCTTTCAGCGATATATCACTGGATATTTCATCCAAACCAATATGAATACGACCACGTTCGGGATCATAGAGCCTTTGTAATAATTGGATGCATGTTGATTTGCCGCAACCTACAAAAATTGCGTCAATAAAAAAAATGATTAGGAATCATTTGCCAGTTTTCTCATGACATGTTTCAATTGTTTTTAATCTGTTTATACCTGATGGGCCTACGAGAGCAATAGTTTTGCCTTCAATTACATTCAAATTGAAATCCCTAAGAATTTGAATGTCTGGCCGCATTGGATATCGAAAATCAATTTTTTTGTATTCAATGTTATTGTTTTTATCTGGTTTTCGACTCTTGTTGGCCACGGTCGGCGAACAAATCATTGGAACTCGATCAATTATTTGGAATACTCGATGTGCACCAACAAATGCTGCTGTGAACGATGGCACAAAGATTAAACTTTGACTCATGACAATGGTTCCGTAAAGTAGTGCCTCGGTCACTCTGAAAAATTATGTTTTTCAATATTTAATGAAAATCCAACATCAAAATATCAACTGATATACGCACTTGATGACATTTTTGAAGTGAATTTCTCCGTTGGCTACCAGAAATCCTCCGTAACAGAGCGCAGCTGCATAGGCAAAGAATGGAATCGATTGTGCCGCTGAATTAACCAAACCACGCCATATTATTTTCTTTCGTATCATTTTTGAAACTTTTGTCATTTCAGTCACGTACCGATCAATCATGTACTTTTCTTGTCCTAAAATGATTATGATAATTATTATATAATGAATGTATTATTTAAACTGTGTATAGCCCTACTTAAAGCAGCGACTGTTCGGATATTGGAAATTGCTTCTGTTGCAATTTTCGTTCCAATTTCGGTTGATTGCTTTTCTAGAAGTGTTGTCTTAGACATATGTCTGGAAAAGGGCATATGAGTCTATATAATCGAAATTCAACGTTAAGTGATAATAACTTATTTACTTAGCCTCTAGAATAACCGTGATTAATGATAACGGGATTGCAGCAATACATAAAAATGATAGTTTCACAGAATAAGCAAATGCCACGATGATTCCGATGAAAAACTAAATAATATAATTATTATATGATTGTCCGAGAATGAATGTGAGTCTTATCGTGAGAGTTTATTGAAATGTAACACCGCCATACAAAAATTGCTGACAGTCAGCATTTTTTGTATGGCGGTGTTACATTTCAATAAACTCACACGAGAAGACTCACATTCATTCTGGGACATTCATATCATCATAAGAATGCTTATGAAATAATAATAAATGATCAATGACATTACTGTGGAAATCGATTGGAAGATAACACTTAGTGGATAACCAATTGCTCCTTGTAAATTTCCGGCGTCACCAGTAAGTCGAGCTGAAAGCGCCCCAATTGAATGATTTTTATCGTCAAACCAACCACACTCCTGACGCATAAATGCCGCAAACGTCATTGATCTAAACCAATAAAATATTTCATAAAAGTTTTTCTACTTTTTCTATTTGGCTCATGTCATCCAAAAAATAATTACCGAACTCGTGTAGCCAGATTGATGCTAGCTTTTGAGAACCAATATGTTTGTAATGTGGCCGAGATGAATGTAACTACGCCGACCAGCAAAAACACAGTGCAAATTATGTATGTTTTATTGAGTGCCTCATTCGCATCTTCTAATGACAATGCCTGTGCAAATAATTACATTTTAAATTTAAATGTCGATTCACAAGTTCCAGAACACATTGAACCTACGCCGTAAACTTCACCGAATAGAATTGCGAAACCAGGTAGTGTAGCGCCGATGAGACATGCACATATTGTAGCCAAGAACATGATCAACCATTCCGGCCTCGACAGACTTAAAATACGTTTGAAAACGGTCCAATATTGAATACTTTCTCCCGTTTTCTTTGTTTCCTTTTCCATATCATCCACAGATAAATCGCGGAAATAGTTTTGTTCATCATATTGATCATTGAACAATTGTTTATTTATGCCAACCTTTTGTTGAACATCTTGACATTCGTTTACTTTTTCTTTAATATTATTATTGAGATCATCTTTGTTTCCGTCTTCTAAACTGCCGGCTGATATCATTTCAAAGTATCGACCTTTCATCGCAATCAATTGATTGTGTGTTCCGTCTTCGATAACCAAACCCTTATCAATAAATAAAATCCGATCTGCATTTCGAATGGCAGACAATCGATGCGATACAGTTATTGTTGTGCGACCTTTACTCGCTTTATCTAGAGTTTCCTGCACAAATTTTTCGGATTGATAGTCAAGGGCACTTGTTGCTTCATCTAACAATAGTATTTTTGGATTTTGAATCATTGCACGAGCAATCGCGATTCTTTGCTTTTGACCGCCTGTTTTGTAAGCGAAACTTCGTAAACTAAAGATTTAAAACATCATCACATCAATAATACTAACCGGAGAGTTGTGAACCTTTTTCGCCGACCATTGTGTTATATCCTTGTGGTAATTTGTCTATGAAGTCATGGGCGCCAGATTGCATTGCTGCCGCAACTACATCTTTATCCGTTGCATCAGGTTTACCATAGCGAATATTCTCGCCAATCGTGGTGGAGAAGAGGATCGGTTCCTGTCCAACTGTCGCTATATTCGAACGCAACATGTTGATATTCAATGTGCGTATATCACAGCCATCGATCAGAACTTGACCATCATCGGGGTCATAGAATCTCTGCAGCAATTGCAAACAAGTTGACTTTCCATTACCGGAATCGCCAACCAGCGCTACGGATTGCCCAGCTTCGATTTCAAAATCTAATCCACGCAGAATCTATGGATACATCGTAAGTATTGAATAATGAAAAATTTGACGTAATAATGACGCTGATTACCTGAACATCTGGACGAGATGGATAACTGAATTGGATATTTTTGAATGCAATATTCCCGTGAATTCCGGAATTCGGCACTTTTCCATCACTTGACATCGAATCAATTTTGGAAGAACGATCAATAACTCTGAATATACCAGCAGCACTACCGCATGCTGCAGCAAAAGATTCCAAGAACGGAGCTGTTTTCGCAATATTTTCAGCGCCAGAAATCAAACCGAAGAATGTCTAAAAAAAGATTGAATTTATTCATACTAATATAGTTAAATGGTAAAAAATGTGTAAAAATATAGACGGCTTACAATCATTAAAACAGCTGGTGTATATTCCTTGTCAACTTTATTACGATCCTCTAGAACCAGTTTAACCCCGTACCAAAAAGCAAGCGCATTGCTACCGAAAAATAGAAAACGCATGATCCCATCTCCAAGTCCGGCAAGTAATCCTTTTACTTTGACTGCTTTTTTTGCGTTTATCAATCGTTTATTGTAACGTTCAATTTCTGATTTCTCACCGCCAAATGCAAAAACAGTACGAATACCACTCAATACTTCTTCGGCAACGTTTGCCGCCGCCGAATACGAATTCAGTTCCTTTGTTGATAACGATGTTTGAAACTGAAATCGAAACATCATTAGAATTATATTTTTTAATTCAATTTAAATTCATTTTTGTATATTTCACCTTTCCAATGATATAATTTGTTAAAATAACAATAGGCACATACGATATCACAACGAGCGACAATTTCCATCCGTAAATGAACGACATAACAACACATATCATAAATCCAATAACCAAAAACAGAAAGTGAGAAACTTTTTCGGCTATTCCGTCTCTAATTTTCTCAATATCTCTGTATAAAAACAAAAAAGTAACTAAGCACTCATGGCGTTATTTTTAAATCAAATGCCACTTACTCGGTGATTCGAACGGCAACATTATTATTGCTACCCGCAACATCATACCAACCGATGTCCTGTCGCATCATTGATTTAAAGAATTCAACACGAATGCGAGTAATTTGACGTAGCGCCGTATGATTGAAACAATCAACACATATAATGCCAGCCAATAAATGCAATAGTGATGCCATCGTCAATAAAATCCCATACGCAATTGAATCTTTTTTAATTGCTTCGCTATTTTCAGCTTTAGTTGCATTTGTTCTATTTTGTAATGAAATTAGTTTTATTAGATGTATGTTTGAAATGGATATAGAAAAATTCTTACAATATTTGTCCACCACCAAATAATGGCAGAAATATTGTCGTTGAACTTGTTCCAATGCCCAACGTACGGTCGACCAGCAATGTTGTAAATTCACCATACACAATGATCAATATTGGCATGGCCACTGATTTTAAAACAGTGAAAAGGATGCCAATGAGTATAAGAATGACATCACATTTTGTTGCAAATCGATACTGTACATTTCAAAAAATAAATAATAATAAGAAAGATACACGATTACATGATTGTGGTGAGATGAAAACAAAAGTGCTACTTACCAAACGAAAATAATTCAAAGAACCTCCCTCGTCCAAATCGTTTTGATAAGTTTTTTTCCCCGAAACGTACAATTTTTTTGTTTTCCTTTATAATATAAAAATAATCGAAATCGATTGATCAATACTCCAAATTACCAAAATGATCAAGTGAAAATTAAGTAGCTGTATAGTATCTTTTCCATTAAGATCTTCTCACAGTCAATACGCGTAGTAATGTACATTTGTTTTCATTGCCAAAACAATTGGGCCATTGAAAGACCCAGTGAGTCAATTCAATAGGCAATGTCAATGTGTCGCTATTTAACCCTCTAGTGCATAACCTTGCCTTTAGGCCTTATGCAGGGTGTATAAAATATATAATTAAAACCAAATGATTCTATTTATGAATTAAAATATATTCAGCAGGGTTCGGGCTTTCATTTGCCGGTCATTTGACAAGTGAAAACAAAGCGGTTGTTTAATTAAAAACACAAATGTACGCGAAAACAGAAATTTGACAAAAGAAATTATCTCTCTCTTCGTTTATAGCAATTTTATAGCAGTTTAAACAATGGCTTCGAATGTTCTCCAATTTTGTCAATAGTATCATATCAGTCATTGGGATGGGAACTAGTATCGTATATTCCCCATATAAATTAATTTTATCGATTCTACGAATGCGACATCTGTTAAAAAAGATACCGATTTTTGTTACTACTGATGCTTTGACACAGTTCGAGCGAACTGTATGGCTATGGATGTATTACAGACGAACTAATACAAAAGAACACACAGACAGCTACGATTGACGACTGAGTGCAGAATTTGTAATACATGAGCATACACAGAATCGGAATCAGTGTGTTCCTTTGTACGTTTACACGAGCTGTATTAAAACACCACTAGCCACAGAAATCGGCGAGTTTTTCAGTAGATGTCGTATTGGTGAAATCGATAAAGAAAAATCAACGACATTTGAGCTCATTGATTTTTTGAATTTTAACAATTTTTTAAGGAATTTTAAACCAAATTAATCATAGAAAAATAGTTCTCATGTCGAAAAAAGATTAATGCATTAGAGGGTTAAATTTTTATTATTATGGCTTACGTCACTAATTTGTTAAATTAGAAACAGAGTTCTTCAAATAAATCACGTATAATAAAAATAAATATACACATCGGGAACCATTGTGTTTACAAACAAACAAATATTCTAGTGGCGGCGATATATTATCAATCATAATCTATATATATTTTATCAGATCACCGCTTCTCCGTTGATAATGCATTTTTTCGTATCTTATCTCTATGAATTTCGTCTAGTATAATTTTTTTCGCGTTTTTTTCTTTGACTTGTTTTTATCTGGTAAAATTTATTAATGTGTTGAAGTAAATTAGTTAGTAAAGATGTTAAATTTATGTCTTCAATTCATTATTATAGCACGTGCCCCAATCGTATAATTAAGTGATTTCAATTTGCATTTTCTAAATCCTCATGAACAAAAATGTATATCTTCAATTGGCCACTTGTATTAAATTCAATTCCAATGAAACATCGTAAATTGCTATTGGAAATAAATATCTATGAATACATAGTCAACGTATGCAAATGCATGCAAATAAATCGGATTGGACATGGTAGCTGTTTAAAAAGCGCCGTTGAAACGTTGTTTATAAAAATATGATTAGTAAAAAAATGTCCATGATGAAAAGTGTTGGATTCATTTCATGATTAGATTCGACCCGTTATCAGTCCTTATCAGTTAACCATGTGGTGATTTTATCCAGAAATTATAATCTAATACCTTTATGATGATTCTTTCTGATAATCAATACTAACATCATCGGGTTTGTTTACCTAAATGTTGTCAACTAATGCCAAGTTATAACAAAAAATCACACTGTCATTGATACAGTTGTATACCAATACCAAATTTATCAAATCTGTCAATTACAAGCATTTGTCTTTTTATGCCGAATGAACAGAATTTTGAAACGTTCAGCAAATTCTGGTGTGAATTTCAGCGTGCTCGCGCTTCATTTTCAAACAAATTTTATTGATCACGTTTGACCAGCTGATGGCCTGCAGTAAGTGAAATATTAGATTTTCAATTGAGCCCAGTTTGTCATTTCAATGAATTGAGGCAAGAAAGGTCGGTTTATCAATTTACAATCGATATTATATGCATTTGTTATTGCATTTAATTGATGATGCCATTGATATTCATAAATGTGGCGAAAGCAAACTCTTTTTTCCATCATTCGAGCAAAATAGGAGCAGAGACTACAGAACAACTATTCAATATTTGTTTTTAAACATCAATCGGCAAATAAATATGTTCATGATTCCATACATTTTAAATTCGACAATCCACGAAATGATCAACTTTATTGGCACATCACATTAAATTCAATGTCACTTTCAATCAGACATTTCATTTTTGTACGAAATTATTTCATTAAATTATGTATTTACACATTAAGTTCTTGTTTAGTTTTATATCACATTTTCTCGATAATATTGATATGGAAAACACTATATCGATAATAACTCGACCACCATTCAAATTAAAAGTTCATTTGGCTTCGGTGCATTTTGCAAATAATAAACTTTGCCAATTTGTCCAATTCATCCCTAAATAACTAGTATATATTTTAATAATAATACATCACCATTAAAACCTGCATTTTTTGCAAATCTGTACAAGTTAATTTTTTGGCAATAAATAACTCTGAATATAAGTTTTTTTAACGAGTTTCAATAATGAAATATAAAATAAATAGGTTTTTGCCTAATTGGGTAATGTTTTTCGAATAAAATATTGGTTTAAACCTAAAAACCGTTTTTTGGCTTAAATTATTTGATTAAAATTCATCACGGTTGGTAGACACTAATATAAAATAAATAGTTATTCTATCACATTTTATCATAAAAAAGATCAAGATCTGGTAGAAGTCAGAAAAACGGTAGTCATTGGGGAAGCTGTTTTTCGGTAGTTTTAAGCATAAAAAAAATACAAAAGTTGTTGGTCGCAGACATTATATTTCAATATTTTCAGCCAGATGAATCCGCTCAGCCAGATATCGTCAGGAGCTGAAATTGAGTGAAAACAGTAGAAGTGCTTGTTATGGTTATAATTACACTTAGATTCCTACAATCACTATAACAATCACTTTCATTGTTTTCACTCCATTTCAGCTCCTGGCGATATCTAGCTGAACTGATTCATCTGGCTGAAAATATCTCAACATAATGTCTGGTCGCCATATAATTTCGATAGATAAGAAAAGTTTTTCAGTATTTAATTACTTTACGCTCCCGTGAAAATTTCAATTTTACTTACATGTTTATTTATTTTTCAAAAGCGAAACACACGCGGAACATATACAGATCACAAAATTATTTATAAATCGAAAGATACAGCAAAAATTAAAAAAAACTAACTTCAACTTAAAAAATAATAATACTTCACGTTAGTGGACGAGAAAAAAAGCAATTTTCAAAATAAATGAGTAAATCACAGTAAAAAATTAAAAGACTTGTTTTATAATGTAACCGATACAGTTTACGATATTGAGTTGCGAAAGAACAAAATTATCGCTCTGTATCCTGCGCCACTCGTCAGTAGACTGAACTCTTTGCAATTAAAATCGTGCTCCAATAAATATCAAGTACTTTGCATGCGTGTAGTTGTGCGCACATCCAATCATTCAAAACTACCGTCTTCAAATGTGAGTGATATACATGTAGTGTTGATATCACGTTTATTCAACAATTTTTTTATTTCAAACTGTTTTGATAACCATAACGACTCACTCAATTAAATCAAACAGAGAAGAAATAAACAAATGAATTGCGAATATGTCCGATAAATGTTTATTGAGAAAAAAATCATTTCAATACTGCTCGAATTTTAATGCTTATTATTTTTGTGCGTTATAAAGTCGAGTATAGGCACCGTTTAGTGAGGCAAGCAATTCACAATGAGTTCCAGCTTCAACAATCATGCCATTTTGCACAACACATATGAGGTCAGCATTTTGAATTGTAGTCAATCGATGCGCAATTATAATGCATGTTCGACCCGATTGTGCCGAGTCCAAGGCTTGTTGAACCACCTGCAAAATCATAAAAAAATTACATTATTAAATGTGAAGAAATTTAAATTGCTTTATACCAACTTGTTCAGATTGCAAATCAAGAGCTGACGTAGCCTCATCCAATAAGAGAATTTTCGGATTTCGAATTAAGGCACGAGCAATCGCGATTCTCTGTTTTTGTCCACCTTTTTGTGAGTGAAAATATTCAAATTAAATTGAGATTCCAAACATCCTCACATGAATTTAAAGAATTTTGAAATACTTACCTGAAATCTGTGTGGCTTTACTGCCAATATTCGTTTCGTAGCCCTGGAATAATTGGTTGATTTTTTTATTTGTTTTCTTATTATATTATATTCGATGTAAATGTAGATGATAATACCTGAGGTAATTGAATAACAAAATTATGAACATTTGCTACTTTTGCTGCTTGAATAATTTCGTCCATCGTAACTATCCGACTGTTATCTCCGTACGCGATATTCTCTGCAATCGTTCTGTCAAATAGAGTTGGCTCCTGGGACACGATGCTGAGTCTTTTGCGCAACTCCGTTATAGAAAATTGTTTGGAAATATCACTTTTTCCTATAGAAATATGCCCGTGTTCTGGATCATAAAGTCTTTGAAGCAATTGAATGCACGTCGACTTTCCACTGCCGCTCTTTCCAACCAGCGCTATTGTTTTGGCCTCAGCAATATTTAGATTAAAATTATCGAGCACTTGAATGGTTGGCCGTGTTGGATATCGGAAACTGATGTCTTTGAAATCAATATCATTTGATTTTTCCATTTCGGTAGATGTATTTGAATTTTGAATGGATGTTATCAACGGTTTTCGGTCAATTATTTTGAAAATACCATGTGCGCCGATAAATGCTATTGAAATGGTTGGCACAAACACTAACGTTTGACACATATAGAGCGTACCGTAAAGCATGGCCTCACTCACTCTAGAAACGGTATGGAATCAATAAGTTTCATTTATTTATTTCACGAATTGATGAAATTTTACCTCACAATATTTTTATAGTGAATTTCATCGTTTGCTACCATGACACCGCCTTGATATAAGGCAACAGCATACGCCAGTAGCGGCACCGCAGTGCTAAACGAATTTACAAATCCTCGAAAGTAGATTTTTTTCAACGCAAGCTTCTCTACTCGCTCCATTTCGCTTACAAATCTGGATATCATCTGATTTTCTTGTCCTATTGTTTTTTTTTTTAATTCGCATAAGGAATTCATTATTAGTTTTCGATTTGAATAGGTAAAAATCAGCTTGGAAATGATTGAAAAATCTCTTACGCAAACTAGCAACAGTACGGATGGACGCTATGGACTCAGAAGCAATTTTCGTGCCAGCTTCAATTGCTTGCTTTTCACTTATAGCCGACTTTGCCAAATGTCTGAAAATAAAACCCATAAAAGTTGTGAAATGAAACCGTGTATGAAATAAGGTTCAAACTCAAAAGTTACTTTGATTCCAAAAAAACTGCCATGAAGAGGAAGGGCACGCTTAAGAGGCAAACCAGCGACAGTTTCATAGATGACATAAATGAAACAATGATTCCCGTAGCAAACGTTGAAATGGCTTGCAGAATTAAACTCAATGGATAACCGATTGCCTGGAAATAGAAATATTTGCCAAATTACTACAATAAAAAATAAAGTAAAATCGATATTTGTACCGTTTGAATGTTTGCCGCATCACTGGTCAGACGACTGCTCAATGAGCCAACCGAATTCTCATCAAACCAACCACACTCCTGTTTTAACATTGCTTCAAATGTGTTGCTTCGAATGCGTTGCGTTAGATTGGCACCAGCTCTGGTGAAAAAGTACGTTTGACACATAGCGCCAATAAATATGAAAATTCCCAGTCCAAGAAAAACCACACACCACAGAGAAACTTCGTTTAGCGCTTCATCGAGATCAGCAACCGATAATGCCTGTGTCAAAATGAAAGAAAAATTAATCCAAATATATACCATTTGAAGAAAGAAAATATTGAAATTCATCAAACAACATACACCATAAACTTCAGCAAATACGACTGAAAATAATGGAAATGCGGATCCAACAATAAAAGATGAAAGAACAGCAATCGCCAGCAATGGCCAGTCTGGTTTTGCCAATTTCAAAATGCGAATAAAATTATGAACATATTTGACTTCCTCTTCGACTTTTTCGTCTTTTTCAAGAATATGGTCGACTAGAGACTCATTGGAATTGGCGTTGCTCGTTTCATCCAAAAAGTCATTTTCTTTATCTGATGATTGTTCATTATTTGATGAATCTGTAGTTGATTTTCGATTGCGAATAAATTGCTTTGTGTGATTATTGTCCGTTTTGACCATTTCATAATATCTGCCTTTCATTTTGAACAATTCTTCGTGCGTTCCTTCTTCGACGATCCGCCCTTTTTCAATGTATAAAATGCGTTGAACACTTTTTAGTGCCGACAATCGATGCGACACTACAATTGTCGTACGACCTTTGCTAACACGATCCAATGTTTTTTGTATATATTTTTCAGATTGATAATCCAAAGCACTTGTTGCTTCATCCAACAGTAAAATTTTTGGATTCTGTACAAGAGCACGGGCGATCGCGATTCGTTGCTTTTGACCGCCGCTAAGCTGTGAATCATTGACCAGAGTATCATAGCCCAAAGATAATTCCGATACAAAATCATGTGCACCCGACATCTGTGCTGCGTCAATTACTTGCCGATCCGTTGCACTTGGATTGCCGTAACGAATATTCTCCTTGATCGTGGTGGAGAAGAGGACCGGCTCTTGACTGACAATTGCGATGGTTGAACGTAATGAATGGATATTTAATGATTTCAAATTTCGATCGTTTAAAAGCACAGCACCCTTATCTGGATCATAAAATCTTTGTAGTAATTGAATACACGTTGATTTTCCACTCCCGCTCTTCCCAACCAGTGCCACTGTTTCACCGTGTTTAATTTTTACGTTGAAATTCTGTAAAATCTGCGAGAAAAAAAAAATTAACATTTGGATTTTTTCACACCGCCAAAATATTGGAGTTTTACCTGCACATCTCGTGATGGATAGTTAAAATGAACATTTCTAAATTCAATACTTCCATTGATATCGTTCGGTTTGAGCTTTTCTCCACTGTTATCTATTGGATCGATGCTAGAAATGCGATCGATAACGGCGAAAATACCTTTTGCCGATCCACGTGCAACAGAAAACGTGAGTAAAAACGGCGTCGTCTCGGCTAGGTTATCCAATAAAATAAATTAATAAAAAACAGGAAATAAAAATGACGTCAATGATTTGATATGTGTTACCTATGTTGTCGGCTGCCGAAACTAAACTGAAGAAAATCTAAAATAGCAATCATTTTATATGCATGTGCATTTGTAGCAATAAAATTCAAATTTTGTTATCAACTTCAATTAGATTAATTAAAGATTATAAACAAAATTGCAACCACTTACAATGAGAAGTGAAGCCGGCGTGTAGTCTTTATCGGTACTATCACGATCACGAAACACCCACTGCACACCAATCCAAAAAGACAGTGCACAACTTATAAAAAATAGAAATCGTGTCACACCATCGCTGATACTTGAGTATAGGCCTTTGCGTTTGGCTGCCTCTCTGGACGGATATAATAATTTGGTGTATCGTTCAATTTCAACGTTTTCTCCTCCAAACGCTAAAACAGTGCGTATTGCATTTAGTGTTTCTTCCACTACGTTCGCCGCTTTCGCATACGCATCAAGTTCGTTCTCCGCTGCCTTCGCTTGTAACTGAACGATAAATTTCTATTAATATTCGACTTAGAACAGTCGCACAACTAATCTTTCCTTCGCCAAATGACAATTGTGTTGTTTCACACAAAAGAAAGTTGAACAAAAAAAAAAAACAGAAATATATTTATGAGCACATCATTTGCATGATCACGATTAGCTAGCATTGAGATATATTTTCAAGTGATTGCTTCATTCTACGTTTTATTTTAAAAATACGCAATAGTGCTATAGAGAAAGTGTTTTATTTATCTATAATTTTATTGTGCAAATATACGTTGCATCATTGTGGTTTATTTTTATTTCGTGTGGCATAATTGAAACTTCGAAGTAGAAATTTCTTTGTAATGTAATCGATTGTGTTGACACATACACACACCCATAAATATTTATACAAACGAATTTATTACCTTTCCGATGAAGATATTTGCAAAAAACACAAGTGGCAAATATGAAATTACGATGATCGTTAATTGCCATCCATAAATAAACGAAATCGACACAAAAATCACAAACGAAAACATTAAATTCAAAAAATGGCTAACATCTTCTGCAATCCCCGATTTTATCTTTTCGATATCTCTGTAAAATGATATTGCAACGTCATATATTATTGTTCGCAACAACAGTTTATTAGCACAACATTACGTCTACAACTAACAACATACTCTGTAATGCGAATGGTGAAATTTGTTTTGCTTCCAGAGCAGTCATACCAAGCAATATCTTGTCGCATCAATGACTCAAAGTATTTAACACGTAATCGTGTCACTTGACGAATGGACGTACGATTAAAGCAATCCACACATAATATTCCAAAAATAAACTGCCACATTGTTGCCATTAGCATGTGAATGCAGTATGCAACGGAATCATTCATGATTTCCTGACGATTTACTTCAATTGTCGCATTTGTTCTACAACATTCAATCAAAAACAAATTTAAAAAAAAGATGAAGATAAAATAAATATTTTTGTTTGTTTGAATTTCAATAAGTAAGATTTTCATACAGTCTTTTTCCACCACCTAGCCAATGTAAGAGCCAAGTCGGTGAGCTTGTTCCAGTGCCATACATTCGTTCGACGAGAAGTGATGTAAATTCACCATACACAATTATTGTCCATGGCATTGCAAATGCTTTTAAAAATGTACATATAACACCAATCACAATTACAAATAAATCCCATCGCGTTGCATAGCGATACTACACTCAAAATAATAATAAAAAAAAACAAACGAAAAAAATTAATGTCAATTAATTCAAACAATACAAACAAACAATCACATTTAGAGCACGACATACCAAACTGAAATAATTTATTGTTTTCGAACCATCTTTTTTATTCCAGCGACTAAAGCAACTATACTTGTTGGACGTCCTAGAATGCATCGAAAATGAAAATTTCAATCAAAACTGTTTATAGCTTGGAATTTTAAAAGATTTGTCCCACATTTTTGTTCTCAACGCGAATAAATTTTATTTTTTTCACTCAAATACTTTTATTTAAACTTTTTCTTTTAACTTGAACAAGTTTATTTTTCAAACTGGTTATAAATGCTACACGTGTAAAAAAATGCGATTTGTAAAATTCACTTCTCATAGTTATTATTATTTCGTTTTTTAAATTTCTTCGGTGTATTTGTTGCGTTTAAACAGCGCACACGTATATCTGTTGCGTTGACTGGCTTGCAACGTTCTGAAATCGTTTCACACTCAGCATTGACTGTATACTCCATATACTCCAGCTGATTGAATTAATTTAAAATGTTTCAATAAATAAAAAGTGGTTTTGACCTTTGCCATACGTTTTCGCAGTGATGTTATCAAGCACAGATAATAATCCACACTTCATTTAAATCAGGGCTGTAACACGTGCAATTTTCTTTTCTTTTAGAAATACGATTAGAAAAATAAGTGAATGAAATATGGAAATCATCAATTGGAATAGATTTAATAGGCGTAAGTTCATTATCACGACTGGCATTTAATAATATCAGTTTATTCTTTCTAAAATGATTTATTGTTTCAAGTTGAATTTTAAATCTATTTTTAGTCGAGAAAAAAAGTTGAGTCGTCTTTCAACTCATGATTCGATGATACTGATATATTTTATTAACATCTGGGTACACATAGTTGTTTTTTTGCTTTCACGCCATGTATAAAAATGTGTATGCCATTCATTTAAAACAAACTACAAAAAAACTGTACTAGATAAGTTTTAAGTAAGCGTTTCACTCACGCGATTTCATGAGTTTAAAAATATGGTATCAAATGGCATACTTTGACAGCATTAGTGCGCATTTGACTTTGAACGACTAAGATCATTTTACAACCATAAATAAGCTCAAACGTAAAGTTTCAGTTTACTGGCAGCTCTTCCAGTTAACTTTAAAAATTGTTTAAACGATGGACATCCATCTATTATTATTAGTATACCTAGATATTTAATTTAAAAATTGAAATCCAAATACGTGTGCGCTTAGTTTCTCAGAGGGGGGTGATTTCAAAAATGAAGAGCAAAAAGGGTAATTTTTTCATTGAAAATGGTGACATTTTTATTTATTTTATTTATTTATTTCACCGTCTGATCACAGACTGAATGTATAGCAATTATTTTACAATATCATTTGCAATGTAACACTACCCGATCGAATACCCAGTCGCCAGCCTTTTCGACTTCGGAGCGGCAGATATCGACTGTGTTCATTGTATATAAAATCTCAAACATATTTTTTATGCCCAATTGATTATTTAACGATTATTGAATATTAAATTGTCCAACTTAACAATACTGTTTCTAAAAATATGTCTTGATGCTGATGCCAAAAATTGTTCTTTTGCCAAATTAAAATTTCTACAAGCTACATTAAATGGTTGATTATGTGCATAGTCTACATTAAACGCTCCAACCCTAATCAGTTCAGTATTTCTCAAAATTCTTTGGTTTTCATCATATTGCAATCTAGTATATACAATTTTATTTCTTAATGAGCTAGACACTATTTTACCCAAAAGGACATCATAAATAAAAAATATAGAGGCATTTATACGCCGTCTCCAGAGCGATTGAATATTTAAAACATCACACCTAAACTGATACGGTGGTAATACAAAATTTTCATCTCTTTGGTAGATAAATCTTAATGTCCATATCACAAAATCTTTCTGAATTGACTCTATTCTATTGGAGTGTATACGGTGGTATGGTTGCCATACAACACTTGCGTATTCTAACTTTGATCTAACTAGTGCACAATATAACATTTTTGCAGACTCAATCGTGAACTTATTCTTCAATGTGCGTTTGATGAAACCCATTGCCCCATGTGCACTGGCTGTGATCGTATCTATGTGATTGACAAATGTCAGCTTCTAATAATCTAATGTAAAATTGGAAATTTCGGGTGCCAGGGAGGATAAAACCCTCTCTACTCCCACCTTTACTGGATTATATAAAGACATTTCATCATTGAGCACAGAACCTTGATGATAGAAATATAATTGTTGTTATTTTTCAAACGATATCATTTGTAATTTTAATATCAAGTAAAATTAAACCATTTTTATTTGCTACTAATGCAATTCATTTCATTATATGAAATTCTATACCATAAATAACATTTTTAATATATGTATGTTGTTAGCACAAAAATGCGATTTCATAATAAAAATGTCACAGTTAAGAAGTTCAATGCCCTGAGGTAAATCAAACCATAATAATACACCGCTAACTTTATTTAATCCACAATAAGCAGTGATGGCAGAAGAATTCAATGGTTAAATTGGTTTCACATGAATCACACTACTTGAACACATGAAATTATCACACATCAAAATCTAATTTGATTCATCGACTTTCTTATGCACACAGAAAAATCGTCGAGCAGTGTATTTTTGAACTGCTATTAAATTAGCATGCGTCCGGTTTCTTATCGTTCAATTTAATTTTTTTTTAATCAAGGCGAAAGAGAAATAGAAGAAGAATCAAAGCTCGTTGAGCGAGTAAGCGATGTCAATCTTGACAACATATATACATATATGAAATGTATGTGAAGCGAATGAATGTGTATGCTGCAACGCGGTGAATATCGTAAACAGGTTGAAAATGCGACAAGTGTTTGTTGATGATACGAATGAAAGAGAAAAAGAAATCAAAATCAGCTGAGCGCTGGCGATAATGTGTTTGCCTTATTGTCTATATATGATGTATAAACAAACTGTAGATATACCTATGTCTCTCCCTTTTCAACGCGAACAAATTGAGTCTGCATTATCGATGACAACAGACACACATGCTTGTGCATAAACCGTTAAGAGACAAAGACGAATGGATACCGCTGCCACATTTAGTTGCTCCGTACGAAGAGAGATGGAAAATATGCGTTGATACTATCGAACAGTGGAAATGTGCCGCGCGCGAAGTATTTCATTCAGTACATGTTGCCAAACACATTCGTTAATGAAACAGTTAACAACGAACGCTCCAACGGGACGGTTTATTTCAAAGTTTTCGTGCTCGCGAGATAAACACAGAGTTGAGATTTTATGTCGACTCTTCTATTTGGTCAGTGTGAATACGAATCAGTTGACTTTTAGCATTGAATTTTTGGTTTCATATACATATCTGTGAATGAAAAACACACTTCGAAAATCGAATGTCTTTCGGCAAATTCCACTAGAATACAGATAATAGAATCTTGGTGGCAATTTTTGTTTTCAGTAACGAATTCAAAAGAACATCTCATTTTTCATCGGTTATTTTCCATATTCAAAGCGTCGAATTCTATAACAGAAGACAGTTTTTTTTTCATTTAAATTAATGAAGTAAACGATTCCCATTGAGTTCACATATCGCATTCAGTCATCTTTCGTCGGTCAACCGATGGATATCTCTAAAGAATACAATCCTAGAAATTTTCGTTTGATGGTGATATTTGTTTTTTTTTTTTCTCGTATATCACTCATCACTCATCACTCATCACTCATCACTCAATCGATTATTTGCATGTCGACTTGTTGATGACTGAAACATAACAAAACCGTTGATTAATTGGAATTTGTTAAATTCCAAGTTTTTATAGCTTATGACTTTTTTTTATTGATACTAAAAATAATCCGTTTTTTTCTCGTCGCGATTTTTTTTTTGAAGATTTTCTTATTTTCATTTCTCGTCAAACGACCATCGTTAATTTTTTCCATGAATGGTTATTTTATTCTAGACGCCACAAATACATTTTTTTATCAATGAAAAGTCTTGTGGCGGCTTTTTTCCTTCGCGTGATTTATAATATAAAAACGATATTGCACCGCGACTGTTGAAAACCAAAGAATGGATTTGCATTCGGGGACACACATTGAGATTAACTGTGGCACGAAACAGACAGACAGAGTTGACAAAGACATTTTGAAAGTGTTTGTTTTACATTTATCATGTAAATTGAAACACAATGCAAACGTCTATATATACACTCATGTGTGGAAAAGAAGAAAATCAAATAGAACACTTTCGAGACTTTTTTCCCAATCTGTATGCGATGTATTTGTGAGCATTGTACGTACGGATGTTTATCGAAGATCGGATTTCAATAGCAAACATACAAAGATTACTTCTAGTTTGGACGAGCTCAGACATGGATTTCGATGTTATCGACGAATGTCTGAAGCATTTTTTTGGTAAACACAAAAAAATGGGTGTATGTGTGATTCGAACCCAAATATTAAGTGATGTCCCATTTTTTGAATATCTCAAAATGAGAGTACGTTTGTGCCTGTGCAAAGTATAAAAAAAATATTGGACATATTTACATAATAACCAATTGTTTGCAAACAATTTACATGAAGAACCACATTTTCCAGCTCATTGGCCATTTGATAAGGAGTGAAACTGATGATGTGACGTTTTTAACCATTCATATCTTCGTATGAATTGCAAAACTGAAACGGCCGAACGTTTCGTTCAAGTGTTGAAAAACGAATTTATGATCGAAAACGATAAACAAACAAAGCGCTGAAAAAATGGACACCAGCACTCTTCCATTGTATATATTGATCGTAAAATGTGTGAAATAGACAAACATACGGAGGCGGAATATTTTCATATCAAAACAGTTACGTTAAGTACACAAAAATTGGGAACAATTTTTGCCAACCTATGAAAATCTAGGATGCCTAAAAATAGTCGTTGGTTACGACAGAATGGTACGACCAAAACAAACGAGAAAAATTGATTGCTTTAACCCTCTAGTGCATAGCTCTGCCTTTAGGCGGAGTGTATAAATTATTGTCTAAAATATATAATTAAAAACAAATGATTTTATTTATGAATTAAAATACATTCAGTAAGATTCAGGCTTTCATTTGCCGGTCATTAGACAAAAAAAATTATCTCTTTCTTCATTTATAGCAATTTTATAGCAGTTTAAACAATGGTTTCGATTGTTCTCCAATTTTGTCAATAGCATTTTTTGAGTAAACTATGGAATGTTTTGAATTACGATTTTTTTTAAAGGAATTTTAAACTAAAACAATCAAAGAAAAATAGTTCTCATGTCGAAAAAAAATTAATGCATTAGAGGGTTAAGAGAAAATGAACAAAACTAAAGCGACACATTTTCTCTTCGCCGTATTTTGCTCGTACATTTTGAAGGATTCAACATTTTTAGCCGAAGGATACCGAGAAATTCATTATTTTTGATAGATTGCCTGTCATAAAATAAATGTAAACAAAGTAAATTTAATTGATTGTAAACTGAAGCACAAAAGCTCAATTGATTATTATCTTTTCATATACGTTCAATATTCAAAATGTTTGATGATCTATTCTTCTCCACCGTCCAAATTCTGGTGTTCCTTTCTCAAGACGGAAATAATGTCGTTTCAAAACACTTTCAAAAGATAATGTTCCCCTAATTCAAACGAAAATAAAGTGAAATTTATTGCCTCCGGTAGTATCAATACACTGTTAATTATATAATCTCTGGCCACATCGTATCCATGACGTACACGCAGTATTTGAACACAGCTCAATGTTGCTTTCGAAACATCGTTTAGAATCTGAATTGAAAGTTGTCTAAGATTTTCTGGTATTTATTTGGCTTAATTTGAATTGATTCGCATTTTCCAAAGTGATTAGGAGTATTGTGGTTTTTTTCCATGTGAAAATAATTTTCTTGTACTAAAGATGTGTTTTATTTACGTGTTTACAGCTTCATTTTCTCATCCGGTCAATAAAGTGTATATGAACTATGAAAACTTGAACTTAAATTTAACATCATGATATTGTGCACTTTAAAGTCATCATTTTATTGAATGGACCATTTCAATTAAATTGCTTCATTTAAATTAACGTCTTTTTCTCGCTCTCTTTGGGAATCATTAAACAAAGAGCAAAAAAAACCTCTGCGAATCCAATTTCAAAGCTGCGAAAAGGTAATTTCCATTTGTAATAATTTACTTATAATTAAATTCATTGTGTTTATGTATATTTAGAATGAGAATATTGTGTTTCGTTTAAAATTCGCGTTTGAAGTTTATTTTTAGTTTTTTTTTTGGTGAATCGTAAGATCAGTAATAAAAATACAATTTTTTCTCCAACAAAGCAAATAATTTCAATTTCAAATGCTGAATTTTCTTTGAATTCGAACTAGTTATTTAAAACTTCTATTTTTGCGCCATTTTGAACTTTCAGCTGAACATTAATCAAATGCAATACATTTTCTGATTCTTTTTTCTTTTGATGTGTTTCCGTTTGATTGATGAATGAAATTTTGGATAAAAATAAACGTGGCTAACATTTTATTTTGGGTAACGTGATGATTCAAAATTGATTTTTCCACAAGACCAATAGCAATTTTTAAGAAAAAAGATGTAAATTTTTATGAAAATTCGTTATGTCAATTGAAATCATCCGTCTTCATTGTCAGTCAAACTCATAGTGCCATTCATACTTAATTATGTCTACATAATTCAAAATTGAGCGACAATCTTTCGAAATGTGTTACAAATCGTCAACACAACAATTCACAAACAAACAAATTTTGTTTTGAGGGCTGTTGTGGGATGAAAATCAAATCTAGCTGTGAATATCGACTTAATAAAATACTCAATGTGTTGAATGAAGATTATGTATTAATCCCCACAAATTACAAAAATATTCCCAAAACTTGATGTTGTTAGTAAATAATACAAATTCTCAAACTTGAAACTCCCTCAGTTGTGATCCTTTTGAGTTATCGATGTTCTACGAATACAAGATGTATAAATTTCAGTTGTACAAATTGGAGCATGTTTTATTTAAGAATAATTAAAACCATAATTACGACGCATCTGTATTTATTTTTGTGTAGTAAATCTCTCGAAAGCAACTGACACGCATGAGTAATTTTTATCGTGTATTCAGATTCATTTAAATGTTATTATCATCGTCTTTTGTGGTATCGCCAAATCCAAACGGGGTATTTAAATGAAAAAAAAAGTGAAAACAATTACTTCTTTGCACAAAAGTGTACTTGAGCTGTGTATATCAATTTGGTTTTGGTAAATTACTGAAAATATGACAAACGAACGAAATCATCAGCTACGATTGACGCACACACAATCCCGTCAGCAATAAAAAAGTTATTTAGAAAGAGCAAACATTAAATTAACACGCCTGGATATGCGAGAGATCCCTTTGAATTTTATAGCGCAGCAAAGTACCAAGTATTTAGATTTTCAGATAGAGTGCAAACAAAGAATTGACGGCTTAATAATAAAATCCATTTGTAAATCGACGTTTTTGTTGGTACTTTCGCCAGGCCTGTAGGGTGAGCTTACATTTCTTAAATGCCGTTCACAAAATCGCTTTAAAACCATTGATTACATTTTGTGCCGAAATTTCTCATCGTTTGTCTGCCAACGTTCAATGTTCTTTTTTACAGCACGCAAATCAAAACATTGTATGGCATTAAGCCAATTTGTTTTTAAATTGAGTTTTCCACATCTCGGACACACAGTGCATGCATGCATGCAGGTTTTTACTTTAAAACCGCAATTTGCTTTGTAATTACAGCATTTATTATTATTGTTATTTCGACTTATTTTTCATTTTATGTGCGCAATAAATCACATTAGCCACCGTATAATGGGTGCTGTGGTGGATGGTGGTGGTGGCCATTCGCTTGATGCAAATTACATACTTAAATTTACTTTTTTTCCCATGCGTAACGGATGGCATAATATTGAGTAAAAACAAAAACCCATTTTAATTAATTTTGCCACCACAACGACACCAGAAAATAAAATGTTTGTACCTCTCAATTTTACATATCCGATCAACAATATCCAGGATGAACCCATCGTTGGGCGTTTCATATACCGGACCACGTACGTAATAATATTTGTCTTTCATCCTCCCCAAACAATGATCCACATTCATGAACACTGCAAATGTTCATCATTTTTGTACATACAATACAAGTACGCGATACACTTTTTTCCGTGAATATTACATTCGTTTCCAAAGAGTTTATAGAGCTTTTGATGATAATTTTTTATCGTCGCTTCGATATTTCAGTTTTTATTATATGATCCGATCCATCTCTATATCCAACTTGAAGTTTTCCGTTTTATTCTCTCACACTTTTCAAACAACTATCTTACACACGTTGTAATCAAGATTTTAATAAAAATGGAAATAAAAAGAGCAACATGAAGAGGACCATACATGGATATCCCAGTTCAACTGAATAAAGAAAACGAAAACCAAAATCTGTCTTACTCAATAATTTGAAAGGTTTTCACACAATACAATTACTTGTAAGTTGTTGAGATTCTTTGATTCGCTTTTTACTCAGAGAAGACACGTTGAACGTGTATGTTCACGTTTTTTTCTTCTCTTGTTTCTTGGCGTTGGAGATGAGGGTGTTTGGTTTACGATTATTTGTTTGAAACGGAACTCAGGGTATGTTTGTTTATACGTAATGTGTGCCATTTTCAGTTCAGCCATAGACATTGCATGTTTTATTCATACACATTTTTTCGCTTTTCTTTTTCACACATCCCTCTGATTTATTGACTTCATGTTTGATTTTCTAGTCTCTACCATTTTATTTCGCTCGACTTTGTCTCTGTTTGTCTGTTTCACCACAACAACCACGTATCCCCGCGTTTCATCTCCTCCTATGCACCTATGTTTTTCTATTTGGCTGATGACTTCCAACAATGTTGTAAAACAAGAAATAATATGAAGTTTTATGTCATTCACTATACTTTATGTACATACTTAACGCTTGTCTCAATCCTATGCAAGCATTTCCAGGGCTTTGAATTTTATGCCACACGCATACACAGAAACATTTCAAATTAAATGTATGTTATCTATGTATTACAGACCCGACATGCTTTTTTATATTTTATCTGCAAACATTGCCATCGAGATTGAGACGCGACGCAGCGAAAAAGTTGAATTTTATATGAGATCAAGAGAAAGAGAATATGTGTGGATAATTGGGATTCTGTTGACAGCCATGTTTATTCAGTGGCTTGATGCTGTTTAATGCCAATTGGCTGTATTTACGTGTGGGCTCATTACAAGTTAATTCTTTTTAAGCAATTGCCCTGACAATGTTGTTTTTGCATGGCAGAGAAACAATGTTACTGATTTTTTATGAAAATTTGTATTTTGTTACGTGATTTATGTCCATTTTTTCACAGCATCGAGGCTGTAATTTTATTTGGCATGTGATATGACATCAAAACATTTGCGAGCAACATTTTTTTGTGGTAATACAAAACTTGCTGTTACAATATTTTCCAAAAGTGTCATGTTTTTTCCCTCTAGAATTTGATATATAATACGTTTGCACGCGAACTGATGATGAAAAGGCGAAAGCCCATATATTTTTTGTATCAATGGTACTTTTGATCGCAGTTTCAATGCTTTTGTGTTTACATTCGCTTTTTCTAGAAAAAAAAGTTTTTCTCTTGCCATAAGGTCAACAGAGAAATTTTAAAATGTAAACTCAGATTCAACGAGGAAACAAAAACTTTTTTCTCCGACGTGAATAACGTCAAGAATATCCGCTTAAAATATAGGAAAAACATACATTTTGAACTTGGTGGTTGGTGTGCATTTAATAAAGTGCAAACGTTAAGTACACGTGGGCATTTTTGCAGTCCTATTATAACAGTTTCAGTTATTTTACGCAATACTGCAATGAATGAGTTGCTTCATATCAGCGCAACACACAAAACGACGTGACGATAGCGCATCAAAAACTCACAAACACTCGTGAACCGCATTATGTATATGTGGCACATTTTGCACTTAACGCGCGTTTTTGACTTTGCATAAATTAAATGGAAAATTTATGCTAAACTATGGTTTTTATTGAGGTGCCTTTTTGAGTTTTATTGCATCCATTCTATCAACTTTGTGTCTATTTGTAAACTTATGACGCATTGAAAAATGCTTGAATGTTTCATGCGTGGTTACGTCACTTTCATTTATGATCTGTCAACAATTACATTATGGTTAATCATCGCACAAACACTCACTCACACAAACCTCTAACACCCATTCAATTATGCGTATATTATTCTATTGCTGGCATTGGTGCAATAAAGTGTACATTGTAAACGAGTTGGTGTTTCCTCCCGGAAAATAGCTCGAGCTAATCAAAAAGTCACAATGTTGTAACCATAGTGAATAGGCCTCATCGGCTCATCCATAGAGTAAGCTTTTGGGTGCTTTCATTTGCACATGGCTTCAGGTGAATGGCTGCCATTCTATTACTCACGCTAAACAGTTCGCTTTGATGATATCAGTTACAAACAAACACAACTTACATCAATTTTTTGGTTTGTTTGTAAAATAAACAAAGAGAAATTGTTCTCAGACACAAAGCCTACTTCGGCCAGAACAAAATTGAAGTTCCTTCTGAAACAGCTGCGGTTTTGTTTTGTTGAAATATCATATTACAATGTGTTAATACAACAAAGTGGAATATTTCGGTTAAATAAATCTACCCACATCTGTAATTCATGTTTCCTTCGCTCAAAGAAGCATATTTAACAATAGCTTTGAACTACGTACTTGGTTCAAATTCAAAGAAACTACTTACCTCAAAGAGATTTAGTATTTTACCATATTTGTAGCAAGTACAAGCAGCAAGCAGACAGATCAGACATTACGAAGAATTAATTTTTTGTGAAGCATACGTTGAAAAATAATTTTTTTGGCATTCTCACAAAATGCAAAGTCCATGACCTGCATGACGAATAAGACAGACCAATTAGTTCGAGGTATAAGGTTGATATTAAAAATCTTCACAGTCAATTTTGATTGGATTTAATTTGTTGCGTTGATGAACATTCAATGAAAGGAGATTGGAAACGAATGGATAATTGACAATGGTCAGGACCACAAAAATAATCATAAATTAAAACAG